CGGCGGGGGGGTCTGGCTACTGGACGCGCCGTCCCCGACGCGGGCGGCAGCAGGAGGGCTTAGAAACAGTCGCCGGTGCGCATCAAATGTCGTGGGTTTGGTTGGATAGATCTTGACCTTCGAGGTCATGGAACCCTTGTAAGGTACGTATATGGTCCGGGTTCCATCTTTCCCTCTGATCCCAGAGTTCCGGCGTAGTAACCGCCTGCCCTGTGCATGTTCCTTTGACCTCTCATGAAACCATTTATAGCCTCCATATCCAGTTCCCAAGATCGAGAGAATCAAAGCGATGGTGGCGATGGTTTTGGCCGCTTTCGAAGAGCGCTTTATCCGGGCACGAGTGAGGTTGACATAGTAGTGGTACAATACCACGAGAGGATCCTCCCGATGCTGTAGTGTCGACTGAGCGGCCATTTCTCCGTCTCATCTACCGGCCGCGGGACCTCGGGTGGTGATTTATGGTTGCCACGATCGCAGGCTGCCGGTGCAGCAGTTGTCACCCTCAGGTGCGGACACTGAGGGCCATGAGGGTCGATGAGAAGTGCTGTGTTGCAACGTGGGGTAAGCTGATGAAGATGCGAAGGAGCTGTGATGTGGAAGCGGAAGAAGGAGTCAGAGACAAGTCAGGCAACAGGTCACATTCTTGGTACTCGTTGAAGCTAATAGCGGAGTTGCGCGCATGTGAAGACCTCGGGCCAACAACCCTGCGGAGAGGCGGAGACTCACGTGCGGAGTCCCCGGACTCTGACGTCGGTCGCTGCTACACATACGAGTAGGTATGTGGCTCTGTCTGGAAATCAGAAATGATCATTTGATGAAGATTACTCAGTAAGACGAGATTATCTATCTTTGCTGGATGCTCACCCGACTGACTGCCTTTGTTTCCGTCAAGCAGAGACTATAGTAGATGCGATGACACTATAGGGTCCGCCTGTGTTGCAGTCTTTCTATTCTTTGCGGGGACGTATTACGGTCGGCTAGCTGAGCACTCGTCCTTTTAAGATTGGAGTCTAGGTAGAAAACCAGTAATGGGTATGGATTCTTGTTGATGGATAGGTGTAGTTTTGCGACTGGCCCTCGACGTTGCGTTTGGAGGCTATAAGCCCTCGGTATATTTGCTGAGTAGTTTCAACAACTGATGGTCGAGTGGAGAAAGTGTAGTCTCCTTTCTCGTGTCGGCCAGCCCGCAAGCTAAGCCCCCGGGTTCGACCCTCGGCCCGCTCGACTATCCCCCCGTTCTCTTTCTTTTTCTCCCTTCAGTCTTCCTCTACTCTTATGTCTCCCTGTGTTGATGCACTGCGATGCAAGGACTGATTCCTCGATTCTGTCCCTACCAGCGACTACAAAATGAGAACTAAGGTTCTCGCGATCTCAAAGCTGCATCTCAGTCCTACACGGTGATTGTGCACTCCTACACCCGGGCGCCCGGCGTAAGCGCCCGCTATCCTAAAGGGGACCAAGGTCGCTGCAGCTAAGCCGGGGTTGTGCTGCTAGAGGTACAACTCGTAGCGATTACCATCCTCTTGCGTAACGATACGAGCGATCGATTCTGGGCATCAAGGCTGTTTTCAAGGATTGAGACATGCGATGCCCAAATCTGGTGGGCTGGTTTTGCGGGGTTGCGACTATGGCGTTCTCGGCCTTGATGGCGGAGATGTCGTGGGCGGGAAGTACTCAATAAGAACGCGGTTCAAAGGACCTTTGTATATTGAGCAAGTGAGCGAGTGAGTGAGTACTTTGTAAAACTGGGTTAAGCTTTGATAACGGGCAAGTTGCCGTGAGTTCGAAGTGTTCGGCGTCCCCCAGAAGCACGAGGTGCGCCAATTACCCGGAAGCTTAAGGCTAATGCGGATGTTGCAAGATCCATACATCTACCCAGGCGTGCACGTATCATACTCCTTAATCAAGGGGGGCTGAGAGGCCCTTGAGTCCTTGACAGACCTACCTCTGCTGGCTTTCGACCTCTTTTTGTGGTGACCTCGTGCCTGTGATCACTATCGGAAAGCCGTCGAACATCGATGGGCGCTTAGGTCTTTGCCAGCTCCGCATCCAACCTCACTGGACATGATTTATTATACGTTGTGCAAGCGCGCATGCCACACCTTTCAGCTAGCTGAAATAGCCCACCTGAAGCGACCGGATACAGGAGCGTCTATGGCGATAATCTCGATTCCATGCGGGCGATGACCGGCGGGACGCAGAGTCATACGGAGTCGACACCCTTCGGCTACACTGAACTGTACGCATGCAGGTAGTCGCGGTACGTGTGCCTTTGGTCAAGTCTACAGCGGAAAATATCGATCTTTGCTGCATGATAGGGAAACGAACCAGCTGCGAATCCACGAATTCCCTCTTGGGAGGGATGCACGGACCTGAGGCCTGGGCTTAGCCCGTTGTGTGACTTCTGATTCGCAGGCTTAGTCGGGAATACAGGCTTACTCCGCCCCGAACGCACTGTGAATTTGTGATAAGGTCGAGATGGCGGTTAGCTATTGTGGGCCAAGGTCTACTAGTGGTCTTGGACACATGGATGAACATCATTATTGAAGGGGGTCGCGAGCCGATCGCATGCACATGCCAATGGCGGAGGATTAGATCAATAAGGTTGGCCCTGTAAAACCAGAAATTGGTGGAGTCGAGAGCTGCCAGCCTGCCACAGACGAGCCTGCGATCGGAATACGAGCGAGCAAGAAGGTGGAGCTGTAAGGCACATGGGCTATCGTCGTCTTTCAAGCTGGTCGGCCGGCATCTGGCGGAATCCGTCCGGTGCAGGATCTCAAGAATTGACATTGGATCAAGATTCCGTACCACAGGCTAGCCAGTCCGATCGCCCGTGGTAGTAATGTTAGCTGTTAACTTGTATGTAAGTAGAGTCCAAATGGGAAGCAAGGTTCATCTGCATGAATTAGCCCGGTTCGGATAATTGAAGAAGAGATCGATCGTTGACGAAAATATGAGTAGGTAGCGCAAAAAGACATCATGGAAGCAGGTGCCGGTGCCTGTATTATCACCGGCCTCAATGAGATCATTGATGCTGATACCCCTGGATTATGCCCACTCTGGTCACCTGCGGTGGAAACACCTGCCTTCCCAATGGGTCCCTGTGCGCTTGAACTCGGGGATGAAGGCGGGTGATTGGTTCAAGCTAAAGTAGAGGATGAAAGCATGGGGAGGAGGGTGGATAATGTAGAGAAGCCTGCTGCTCGGACTAAACCAAAGCAGATGTCATGTTTATAGCCTAGCATCGATTTGAACGAGCAATGAAATTGCGATGGCACCTCCCACTTCCGCCCGAATGGCCGTCAACCAGTCAGTGTTGCTGAGTTGCAGCCCTGCACCTTTTTCCCTCTCCGGTCCAGACCACTTTCACCCTCGGGTCTCTGTCCTCCTCCTTTTCGCCTTCTTAACCAGCTGTACGGAGGTGCTCCGCAGACTAACTGCCAACTTCTGATTTCTTCCTCTGGCCGGAATGACCACGGTAGGGAAGAATACATAGGAAGTAGTTGGGAATGCACGTCCATTCAATCATGCTTGGGATGATACATACAGTATCTGGTTGGAGTCAACTGGCGTAATCATTATCATATTGTTATGGTCAAGATAATTGTTATTATTGTTGTTATTATTGCTTTCCCCCGCTCCTCTCTCTCTCTCTCTCTCTCTCTACTGACTGACTGTCTGTTCTGTTTTCTCCCTCCCCCCCTCTCCTCCCCTCCATCTTCCCTGAGCCCGCCTGTGGTCTTCTGCTTGTACATCTGGTCCCCTTTTTCCCTTTTCTCTTTTTTTTTCTTTTCTGTTAATCTCCTTCTCTCGTCTTCTTCTCAAATCGGTTAGTCAAGTCCAGGAGCCGAGCCCAGGACACCAGGCTTGTTTAATACTCCCCCAAGCAGCGGTGCTCCTTTACCTTTGTGCAACCTAGGATTACATTACCGTTTCCTTCCCCTCCTTTCGTTCCTCCCCTCACACTTCGTAAGAACGCGTTCTCATCTTCATTCTATCCTTCTGCCGGCTGCTTTCCCTGCTGTTCGCTGCTATCTGACCAGCTCCAGCTATTCCTATCTTATTCCTTCATCTAAGCGCTTGAACAGGCCATCAAACGGGCCATAAGGACCAGAGACAAGAAGACCTGATCGTCGACCGCCGATCAGAGGACAAGACCAGGGCTCAGCAACTTTCACCTTTCCTTTATTATCATTATTAAACTTCATCCCTCCCCCCCATCATCCGTCAGCCCCAGTGCAACATTCCCGTCGTTGTACCCTAAAGGAAGGGCCCGTTCCACCTCCAGTACCCGGTCATTTCCCTTTCTCCCTCCCTCTCGACTTTTTAATTTTTATTCTTAGTAATTTATTATTGAGAGTTCGAGGAGCTGCATCCTGGCATTGCCACGTGATCTTCTCGCTGCACTCCCACGCCCGACCCTGCCTCTGCCTGCCTGCCTGCCTGCCTGCCTGCCTGCCTGCCTGTCTGTCAGCCTGTCCCTGCGAGCGTTCCCCCCAGACGGCGAGATCGTGCCAGTCGCATATGATCATATTTTATACTTGCCTACAGTCCGGTTTCCAGGATTTTTGGAGAAGAGTCTAAGCAGTGATTGGATTGCACTCCCCCCCCCCCCCCAAAGTACCCCAACTGCGACAAGTCTTACTGCTGTGCACTAGCCTCATTCGAGGCGGTGGTCCGCGACCCAGAGCTAGTCCAAGCAACCTTGACCTACCTGAGGACTGACTGCTATTGACTTGCTTGACTTCCATCCTCCATTCATCTATCCCTCTTCTCCATTCCTCCGCCAGATCCAGGAGGCGTGCCTGCTGCTGCACCTTCACCTTCAACGAGCCCCGGTCCGGTCCCTTTCCCCTCCCCTCCCCATCCCCCCTCTCCTCGGCGGATACCCTGGTGGTCCTTGTTCCGACGTTTCGTCCTCTTGCCACACCCACCTCCTTTTGATTTTTTTTTTCCCTTAATCGCCTTTCATCCCCGTGAACCTCGCTCTGCTACCCTCAATGCTCGGAGGGAGCTCGGAGCGAGATTCTTTACCATCCAACTCCACCGCGGCCAGAGAACAAGCGTCCATGTCTATCGCAGCTGGTCACCCTGAGCCAAGTAAGCTTTCCGCCCCTTACTCTTTAACGCGACCGGACGCTTTCGATGAATATCATCGCTAAGACTTATTTCTATAGATCCTGAGGCGGCGCCTCAGGAACAGTCCGCCAATTCAAGTGCTTCAGCCCCGTCCACCGGCCCAGAAGCTATCGACCCGGCTCAACCGTCGGTCGCGACTCCAGGCGTTGCTGCGGCTACCTCCGCTGATCCTCCGAAAAAGCATCATTTACTACTCCCGATCTCGTCGCGTGCATCCCTGAAGGCCGACCGGCAGTCGACTTTGGACAAGAGTCAGGATACTGTTAACGATGACTCCGAGAACACTCTCCGCGGATCGAAAAGAAGCATTCTGAAAGGGCGACGCGACCGGAGCAGAGGCAGCAGTATGCGATCACGTCGGCAAAATCAGGAAGGGGGAAGTATTGAGGAGGACAAAACAGCGACCGGCGATCTGCGTGACACCCCTAAACCGGAAAGGAAAAGCAAGGTCACCTACAGGCTATTCGCATTTCTCAGTTGCTGTTCTTCATCCAACGACGACCCGGAGGACACAGCTATTCCCGCAAAGAGAACATCCCGACGGCTATCAGTTCCCAACACGCAGCCAACTCCTGAGAAGACAGAGGCTACTGCTGGAGACTCGAGCACGGCAGATTCTAAGGAACCATGCTACTATCGCGACGAGAAATCCAACATGACTGTCACGGCGGATCAGTCAGCATCGCAGAAAGATGAGGAACGCACTGGTAAACCTTTAGATCAGGGCTTGAAGCTTGATAGCTTGGCGGCGCCGTCCGGTCAAGCTGCAGAGGATCAGGCGCACACTCCGACCAAGGACGATTCCGAAACTCAGGGTCCGAACATCGTCGTCGCGACCGTTGAAGGGGGCGCTGTATTCCCGAATGGGGTCGAAAAGACCGAGGACGATGCCGCGCCACAGGACAAGGAGAAGTCACGATTGCAGACGGAGCAGGCCCAGACTCAGGAACTTCCTCCGGCGGACGATGAGCTACACCAGTTCCCTGCCGAGAACGACACAACGAACGACCTTAAGTACGCTTCCCACGATGAAGAGGCGTCAGCGCTCGCCCCCGAGTTACCGCCCCCGCCGATGCCTTCGAGCGAGAAACACATTGAGACGGTGGACCCTGATGAGCATGGCCAATTCCTTTTGCCTCCGCCTTTACCTCACCTGCGTGACAGAAAGTGTTTGGTTCTAGATCTGGATGAAACGCTAGTTCACAGTAGCTTCAAGGTACTTTCTTTTTCCCGCTTTCGCCAGTCAAAATACTGAGTGGCAATTTTAGGTTCTCGAACGGGCAGACTTCACCATACCTGTTGAAATTGAGGGCCAGTACCACAACATTTACGTCATCAAACGACCTGGCGTCGACCAATTCATGAAAAGGGTCGGGGAGTTGTATGAGGTCGTTGTTTTTACCGCCTCCGTCTCCAAAGTGGGTGATTCTCGCCTCCTCTATCGGCATAGTCACTAATTGAACTACAGTATGGCGATCCCCTGCTGGATCAGTTGGACATCCACAATGTTGTGCACCACCGCTTGTTCAGGGACAGCTGCTACAACCATCAAGGCAACTATGTGAAGGTTGGCATTCTTCCTGATATGAGCTCCGATTGGACACTGACCTTGTGGTAGGACCTGTCACAAGTCGGTCGCGACCTACGAGACACCATCATTATCGATAACTCCCCGACATCCTATATATTCCACCCTCAACATGCGATACCCATCAGCAGCTGGTTCTCTGACGCCCACGATAACGAGCTCCTAGACCTAATTCCCGTCCTCGAAGACCTCGCCGGGGCACAAGTGAAAGACGTCAGTCTTGTTCTTGACATTGCATTGTAATGCCTGTATATCTAGCTCGTCTAGCATCTGCATCACAGCATGGACATTTTGCTTTCTTGGACCCCAACACGTTTGTCAACACGCCTGACACAGTGGCTATGGCTGGCCACAACACATCTTTATTGTCGTGGTTGGAAGCAAGCTTCTTCAGGCAAGCCGGGACTCACAATGTTCCAGAGTGGAGCTGTATGTTTCCTTGTCTCCCCATGTTTCCTGTTTTGTTTCGCAGTGCGCTCCCACCCCCGCGCACCGGTCTCTTTTTCTCTTTTTCTGCTTTTTCATCTCTTTTTTTTTACACTCCAAGTGAGTAGATACCTGATTACCCCCCTTGCTGTTCTTTTTTTACTACTTAAAACTGTGTGTGTGTCGTTGCATTCTGCAGGCGTCCGTCTTGGTCATCAGCCAAAATTCTGCTGATCTCGTGTATACGCTCCCCGATTTACCTATTCTTACACTCTCTCATATGTCTTTCATATTTCCTTGCCCCTGTCTTGTCATCTGCAAACGAGCAGCCCTCAGAGGCTCGACTTACCGCTCTGGTTATTTTTTTCCTTTGCCCTTGTATCCGAAGATGTGGTCCAAAACCCCGCCGTGTGTTTTGTTATTTGTCTACTACGATCTGCCTCGCTTTTTGGAGACCTCGATAGTGGATAATATCTTGATACCTGTCTTCCCCCACATGTCCATGCTCTGGTACACGCATAGTATCTCATCGACCCAGGATTGACAAATATCGGTGATCTTGCAGTGTATGTACCATTGGCCTACGTCCTGTACATAGAAGCGTCGTCACTCCATCCCGTCCTGTGTTCGAATATTGAGAGACCAATAAAGGCTACGAGTCATGCAACAAGCGTATTCCAGAGTTATTAGTTGGTGGCTGGTTCAGTGTGTAGCGTTGGGTGGTTGAAAGTGGTACAATACTTTGTAGTAACTGTACAGTCATGTACATGTACGCGGGATCCGACGGAGTTAACTTAATCAGCCTGACCGCGTCAACTGCTTTTGCTTATCATCCGGCACTTTTTGCCTTCTGAACTTCATTTGAGTCATTCTTTGTGTTTTTACAGAGAGTAAGGGACGATAAGGCAAGAGAAGAAACAACAAACGAAGAGGTATTCCATCCCAAGTTCCCTCCGTCTAACCCCCCCTCTCCCAAAGAGAACCCCGCTCGGCATCGTCATTCCTCCGTCGGTCAACATTGAACCACCCTCACTCCTCCCCCGCCCTCCGGAGTTCCAGCGCAGACTTACACACACCACTTTTTCCAAAACAGACAAAAACATCGCTCACGCGCTCACCTTCCCCAAACCTCCAACCACACTCGCCAACACCCATCCAGACTTCCTCCAATCCAAACCCAAACAACAAAATGAAAGACCGCCACGGCTGGGACGGGAAACTCCGCGTCGGCGGCGGCGCTGGCGGCGACGAGCAGCAGCCCGCCAAAGAAGCCATCATCACCAACCCCGAAGCTCTCGAAGATCCCGATTATTCCGACTCGGATGCGCCGCCCGTGGAGGAGATCCAGGCTGATGAAGGTGCGCTTGTCTCACCTTTTCCGCACGCATAACACACACGACACACACTCTCTTTCTCTCCATCCGATCTTCCATCGATATTGAGACTCGCGCTTTTGGGATTGAAGCTGATCCGGGAATATTGGTTTTGGCAGATTTATTGGAAGATGAGGACGTGGATACTGAGGTAAGGGTTCCGAGCTCTTTTTTTTTTTGTTCGCGGGTGAATGCGATGCGACGACGCGTTGGAGTTGTTGGTTGGTGGTGTTGCGCTGCAGTCGCGGGCGGACCTTTGTTGCCTTTTTTTTTTTTCTTATTATTTTGGCAAAAGCTGATCAATTCCATCCTGTCGTGATGGGAGTAGGAAATCGATCTGGTACATTGTCGGATAACGTCGCTGCCGGCGTTGAAGCTGGAGCGGTTTGAGAAGGTTAAGGTATGCTCTTCTTCTCCAAGGCTCTTGCGCGGTAGTCAAAGCGAGCACGGAGAGCATAGCACGCCAGCTAACCAGGGACTTGCAACACCACGCAGAGAATATGCCTCCGGCAGAACCAGATCTCGCGCATCGACTTCCCGACCCCCGTCGCCAAGTCGCTGACCGAGCTCGACCTCTACGATAACCTGATCTCCCACATCAAGGGGCTGGATGAGTTCGAGAACCTGACGAGTCTGGACCTGAGCTTCAACAAGATCAAGCACATCAAGAACATCGCGCACCTGGTCAAGCTGACGGATCTGTACTTCGTGCAGAACAAGATCTCCAAGATCGAGGCGCTGGAGGGGTTGACAGTGCTGCGGAATTTGGAGCTGGGGGCGAATCGGATTCGGGTGGGTTTTTTTTTCGTCTTGATTCGCAGGGGAGCTGGAGTTGACGCGGTGTAACAGGAGATTGAGAATCTGGAGACGCTACAAGCATTGGAGGAACTGTGGTTGGGAAAGAATAAAATTACCGAGTTGAAGGTAAGCATAGGGAATAGGGACACTGTGGTTCTTTGCTGGGTCTCAATGATGCGAGAAGGAGCTAGTCAGACTCGCGGCTAACCCTCGTGCGCTATGTTGTACAACAGAACCTCGACGCCCTCCAAAACCTCCGGATCCTCTCCATCCAGTCGAACCGCCTCACCAGCATCAGCGGCCTGTCGGCGCTGCAGAACCTCGAGGAGCTCTACCTCTCGCACAACGCGATCACGGAGCTCGGCGGCCTCGAGGACAACCTGGCGCTGCGGGTGCTGGACTTCTCCAACAACCAGGTTTCCAAGCTGGAGCGCCTGGCGCACCTGACGAACCTGGAGGAGCTGTGGGCGTCGAACAACCATCTGGCCAGCTTCGACGAGGTGGAGCGCGAGCTGCGCGACAAGGAGCACCTGAAGACGGTGTACTTCGAGGGGAACCCGCTGCAGATGCGGGCGCCGGCCCTGTACCGCAACAAGGTGCGGTTGGCGATCCCGCACATCATGCAGGTGGACGCAAGTAAGTTCTCTGGGGGGGAGGCTCCCTTCACTCTAAAGTCAGTCGGTGCTAACCCATGTAGCGTATATGCGTGTTGCATGAGGGGATCCGGAATGTAGGAGGTATGATGAGTATACGAACAGGTTGACTATCTGCCCGCAAACCAACTGGAATAGATAATAATCTTCTTGATCCAAAAACAACCACGACTTCACCTTGAGAATTAGGATATGATATACGATATACATATACCACACACAACCATGGCTTCAGGTTAGAATGTAGTATACACGAAGAGAGAATATACAAAGAAGGACTAGACTAGTTCTCGCCCCAACTAGCTCTCACACTAAGACCCCCCAACTTATTCTCTACTCTACTCCTCCTCCCCCTTCCTCCTCTCCCCTACCTCACCACCATTATTATCACCACGAAGCTCCCCCCGAAACAACCCCATCAAGCTCCCCGCCCCCCACCGCCCCGTCTCCGCCTCCACCCTCTGCCGCCGCCCATGCGGCACCCCGGCCACCTTCCGCCGCCCCGCCGGCCCATCCGCCAACTCCCGGAGGGGGATGCCCGCGTGCAGCAGATCCGCAAACATGCGCGGGTGACTCGTCCGCTCGACCTCGAACCCGGCGTACCAGGGGTTCCGTCGGATGGCGGCGGCGTGGTTGGTGCGCGAGGCCGTGAGCGTGCAGCTTATCATCGTTGTGGGGGGGTCTTCGTCGGATGGCGTTGGGTCGAGGGCGGAGCGGTTGTGCGGTGCTGCTGCTGCTGCTGCTGCTGCTGCTGCTGCTGCTGCTGCGTCTAGGGAGGCGTGTTGCGGCGGGAGGGGAAGGGGCGTGTAGTATTGTTTTTGTTTCGGGGGCGGGGGTTGCGTGATCTGTGCTTGTGGTTGTAACTGTAACTGTGACTGTGACTGTGACTGCGATTGCTGGAGCTGGGCCTGGGCGTCCGGGGTGAGAGGGATTGACAGCGGGGACGCGGCGCAGGCGGCCGTCGCGGCAGCGGCGGATTCGTAGATGGCGATTATGTTGTGGGATTGTGGGCGGGTGGTTGTTGTTGTGGTGGTGGTGGTGGTTGGGGGGCTTGTTACGTCGTACTTTTTTGGGGGGGGGGGTCGGTTAGTTTCTTGTCTTTTGAAAGGGATTTTGTTTGAGCAACTGGGAGAAGGGAAAGGGGGCTAGCTAACCCTCAAATTGCGGAAGGTGACGACTTCGCCGAATTTCTGCAGCGCGGAGAGGATGAGTTTGCTGTCGGAGAGGGTGCGCGGCGCCGGGTGCGCGGTGATGTGGATGGTTTTGGTGAAGAGGGACATTTCGCTGGGGATTTGGGGGAATTGGAGGTGGATGTGGGGGTGTGGGTTATTGCATTGGGAGGGGATGTGGTGTTTGGTTGTTGGTGGAGTGGTTGGGTTGGGTTGATTGTTGGTGTTGAGTAGGTTTGCGCGGAGGAGATGAGTCCCTCGGACTGCACGGCTTGGCGGTGCTTATCGCCATGCGCGAGGCTTATCTTATCGGGCTATCGTGCGTTGCAAGTTTCTGTATTGTCTATACTACTCGTCGTACTGATTTGAATGCTCGGTGTCCCTGCATCTAATTGCGGCAGATCTCGGTCCCAACTTTAGAAATATCTCTTTGCAGGTCATACTGAGAGTTTCCCATACATAGAGCACTCTTAACAGGACATGCTACGCTACACTCTACAAGGGCCAAGACAAAATGAAGTCGAAAGAGTAGCATTCATATATCATAACACATAACTAGAAGATGGGAACATAGAGCCCGTACTATTGAAAGTTCGTTAGTATCACTATCAACCTCAAGTCACCAGCAACGGAAGGGGCAAACTCACTCCCAAAGGATCATTGAACCGCAACCCCCGATCCAATGCGCTGATCTTCTCCAGCTCCGCACCCTCCAGATCCCAGCGCGTGACATCCAGATTCTGCTGCAGCCGCTTGGGGTCATTACTCTTGGGGATAACGGCGATGCGGCGCTGCGTGGCCCACCGCAGCAGCACCTGGGCGGGCGTGCGCCCGTGCTTGGCGGCAATCTCCTTGATGACAGCATGCTCGAACAGCGGCGGCGTGTTCAGCGCGTCCTTGACCTCCAGCTCCAGGAAGCTCAAGGGCCCGAACGAGCTGTACGCGGTGACGACCAGCCCCTCCTTCTGGGCGTACTCGACCAGCCGGGTCTGGGTCAGGTAGGGGTGGTGCTCGATCTGCAGGGTGGCGGGGCGGACGCGGGCGTAACGCAGCAGATCCATGACCAGCTGGGCACTGAAGTTGCTGATGCCGATGCTGCGGGCCAAGCCGGCGTCGACGAGCGTCTCCATCGCCTTCCACGTCTCGTGGATGGGCGTGTTGCTGAGCTCCAGCGTCCCGTTCTCGGACTCCCACCCGGGCGGGTACCGCACGCCCGGGTCCACGTACTTGAGCGCGATCGGGAAGTGCACGATGTACAGGTCGAAGTACTCCAGCCCCCAGTCCTGCAGCTGCTTGCGCGCGATCGGCTCCACGCGCTCCGCGTCGTGGAAGCTGTTCCACAGCTTCGACACGATGAAGAGCTCCTCCCGCTTGACTAGGCCGTCGGCGATGGCCCGCGCCACGCCCTGGCCGGCTTCGGTTTCGTTGCCGTAGTCTGTTTGCCCGAGAGGTAAAGAGAGATTAGTATGTTTTGTGGTTCTGGGTGTGTTTACTGGAGACACTTTCGCTGGGAAAGACTTACCGCAGGCCCCGTCAAACAGTCGGTATCCCTCCTTGATCGCGTGGTAGACTTGGTCCGCGCAGGTGTCGTTGTTCACCTTCCACAGACCGAAGCCCACGAGGGGCATCTCGTGGCCGCTGTTGAGCTTGACGGTGGGGGAAGCCATTGTGTTGGTATCAGGGTTTGTCTCTTGATAAGGTATGAGAGGGTGTATGAGGGAAAGAAAGTAGAATCGAGAGAAGGAGGAGAGAGGAGAGAGAAGAGGGAAAGGACACGGAGATGGTTAAAAGACCGGCCAATTGCCCCTCCATGGCGCCCCTCCCCACCCCCCGGCCCTCCAGAGCGTGCCAAAGTCTAATTGATGGAACGAAAGCAATTAACCAGGCACGGCATCGGATGATGATGCATTAGAGGCTAAAATGATATGCTTCTGGCGGCTGTTAATGCGCCTCACGGCTAAATGCAGCATGCGGGTCCGGCTGAATTGGCCTCGACCCACTCGGGCTGCTGCAGACACGCAGACTATACATCTTATTATGGTTGGATGGCACGAAGTACCAACGTAGCACTATCTGTTTTAGTGTTCTGCACAGAATTGCATTGTCAAGAATCGAATCGAATCAATTAGGTATCAATAAAAGGTTATCCAGAACCAAAGACCAAAGAAAACCCGTCCCATCCAAGAACCCGCCCCGAGAAGAAAGAATGATATTACAAAATGTGCTTTTGAAAAGTCCACCCCACCCCAAGGTTGAAAGATATCTTAATTCGCCTCCACTGAATTACTGTCTGCATATGCAGGATGCGGGTGATCATGCCCACCCCCGTTGAGGCCCGGGTCACCGGGCATGCTTCCGACCAGCTTGTCCATCACATCATCCGGTGGTAGGAACCCCTCGAAACTGCTGGTCGCGTGCGACTCGCGCGGGACCGAGCTCTGATGGTCCGATGGCTGAAAGTGGTGGTGCTGGTGGTGGTGGTTGTGGTGATGAAGATGGGTATAATTGTCGCCGCTGACATCGCCTTGGATGCCGGAGGTCGTGGGCGTCGCCCAGGCGGCGTGGCTGTGGCTGATGTCGTCGAGAGACTGCGCGCTGGTCCCGAAGATGCTGTTGAGGACGGTGTTGTTGTCGTGGACATTCACGCCGTGGGACTGCGGGGGCCCGTAGTGGCCGTCGGGACCGATTCCGTATCCAGGCAGGCCCGGATGCGACAGGGAGAGATCCGGCACACTCATCATGACGGGCCCGCCAGTCGAACCGCTAAGACTCGTCGGCTGGCTAGTCTCGTGGGGTTGGAGATGGGAGAAGGAGTCCAGCACCGACGTCACCGAGGTCTTGTCGCCCAACCGATCTTCTGCCTTGATGTGTCCGAGGAAGTCAAAGGGGCCACTGGAATTGAACATGTTGGCGACACTGTCCTGGGGCTGCTGGTACAGAGGCCAGTGCGGTTGCGAGGCAGTGGTGGTGTGCAGCATTTCATGGGACTGAGGTGGGTGGTACGCACTGGGGCCGGGACGGTTCATCAGGAGGGAGTCCAGTGGGAGGGGAGGAAGGTCCAGTCCAGTCGGGGCTTTGGGACTCGCATGCAAAGTCCGCTCGGGAGGAGGAATTATACGGCGCCAAGTGGTGGTGCCGACCTCGTTGGGTCTCGTTTGTCGGAACTTCCAGAGCAGAATCGCGACCCGCTTCGGTTCGTTCACCCCATGGCCCGAGTACGAGTTGGTCGACATCCGTCGCACATTATAAGGCGCCACGGCCCGGATCTCCTGGACGACTGTCAAGGTGCGGAGGTATTGTCTCCCAACTTCATGCGAAACGTGATGTTGACCTCTTTCCTCGACCATCTTCTGGTCCTGCGTGAGCTGGGTGAAGCAGTTCGCCCACCATCGGGATTCAAACAGTGGCTTGACCTTGGTCGACCCCGGTTGGGCAACACTGTGACACTCTTCGTGGACATTGCGGCCATTGTCATACATGGTGGTCTTACAGGTCCAGTTGCTCATCTGGTGAACCATGGGCACATCCCCAGCCGTTGCCTGGGCAAAGTCGAGTTCCAAGTGAATCCCCAATCTCGACCCCGCGGGAGGGAAGTTATCCATCAATTTCAGGTTGGCTTCAAGTAGAATAATCTCGCAATCAAGGGGGGTACTGGGGTCTGCAATTAATGAATTTAAATCAGGAAAGGATGTCTGCCACCCTGGCAGGTCTTTCAAGGGCATCGGCGGTGCAACAGGATGGCGTTGGTCTCCCTGGAGGCGGCTGTAGATGTGGATGGCGTCGTCGATTCGATTCGGCTTGTCTGGAGCGCTGACCCACATGTCAAACCCAAGCCCCTGTACAGTGTTGATGCTGGCGTCGTGGAGGCTCGAATTCAGGGAGAGGTGCGCCGAGGGAATATCGCCAGCATAAGTATGTCCCAGCCTCAAATGATCATAATGGGGGGTGTGGAAGTGATTGCCATAATGACTTGACAAGGGAGGGTCCAAGGAAGCCCTCCATTTTGGACCACTGGGCGGATGTTGGCTGTTCGAGCGGACGGCCGCCTCTTCTCGTACGAGTCGCTCCCCTGCACTACGTTAGTCCCGTTGCATTGGCCATTCTTCACCTGCACACCAGATGAACTTACAGTCCGGGTCTCCTTTAAGGAACGAGTCGAGGACTTGCAGATGGCTGGACACTTGCTTTCTGGTTCGTCGTTTACCAGTTTTCTTGTAGATGTATTCAGCAATAAGCTCATTTCGACCATAGGACTTTCCTCGTTCCGACCATTTCCGTCGGCCCATCGGCGGATTCGCTTCGAGAGCTGTTGAACAGATTACTTGGATGCTCGTACACTATCAATCCTCGAACCTGCTCACCTTGTTGAAACGCGTCTTCAAGTTCGTCCGACCATACCGGTTCCCCATCTTTGCCAGTGTCACGGCGAGGTCGGGCCCGATACTCAAGGTACTTCTGCGACCTGAGATAGCTTCTTGGTCGACGCGGTCCCACGAGGTTCGGACCAACAGACTGCAGACGCCGCAGCTTCTTTGCCTGGAATCGTAGGCTCTGAGGAGGCCCAAGGCTAGAGACGGTGGGCACTGGATGTGTTGGCACCGGAGGTTGAGGATACTTGTAGGCTAGATGATGCAGGTGCTCGTCCCGCCCCGTGATTCCACTGTGTGCGAGGCTGTCCGAGTACGTCTGAACGTTCCCAGAGGTGTTCTGCAATGCTCTGTCCGTATGAGCTCCGATACTGTCCAGAGTGGGTTGATGTTGAGGCAGAATACACTCCGTTTGCCAGTCAGTAGCCATGGGGCGGACCAGAGTGTGGGCTCTTGGAAAGAATGGCGACGAATTCCAAAGAGATGGGGGACGAGGACCGCGAAATGCTTACTACTGCCTGGCAAAGAACGTAGCAGTCACCGACCCAGCGATCAAGAACGTAAATGCTTGGAGAGAATGTAAGAACCCTACGAGAGAGAATGTGGGAGCGAGCAGCATGGTGTTTATAGGGAACCATTCTCTCCCCTGGAGAGGGAGGCCCAGTGACATTGCTCGATCACACTGCTTGTTGATGAACCACCCCTCTAGGGCAACGAACCTCGATTGTCCAAGGCGGGGGGACAACAGGGAATCTCCTTCCAGGCTTCACGCGTCCAGATTGAGTGCTGAGCCCAGGAAACCACTGGGGAGCAAATCAGGAGGGAAGGAAGCCCACGATGGGCACGAGCCGGAGACTGATGCAAGGGGCTCCCTCAAGGTGCACGCTCCAGTGAGGTGCAACTCGGAGGTTTTCGCAGCGTGAGATGGACATCGTTTCCTGAAAAGCAGGTACACAGCATCCAAATTGGACGAATTGTGGCAAAGAGCCGGCGTTGGAATGAGCGTGAGCCAACGGCATCGTCTCCAGACGTAGGTGTGGAATGTAACGAGGTAATTACGAAGATCAGGTCGGAATGTTGGTGAGAACCCTAGCTCCAGCTTAATTTTCACGTCCACAACCAAGGGTTTCGAATTGATTGAAGGTCTGAATTGGTAGGTAGGTAGGCAGGTATAAGGGATTAAGGGAAGTAGTGAGCCCTGAATAGCACGGAGACTCGGAGAAGGACCTTACTGGGATGACAGGACGAAACTCTCGTGAGAACAGGCACGAGCATCCGCTCGCTGTGCAGAACGCGTATGTACGTGTTGACAGCCGCAGGCGAACGTGAGAGCCTTGAACCTACTTCCGCCCTCCAAACTCAGCGTCCCGGACGCAAGGGATATCATCACCATCAGTGCACCATTGCCATTGTCTGTCCCCTATCAACAGGGAGAAAGGAAGTCAGGAAGTCAAAAGAACCAAGGGTAGAGAAGGGACTCTCTACTCCTCGTCCTGGGCCCCTACAGTGAACTTCTTGCGCCCAGGACCACTAAGTTTTTGTAGCTTCACCCTGTCCATCTGCTCTCCTACTTTCTTTTCGATCTGCTTGATCTCTTCCTCAGCATCGATCGCCTCCTCGTTCGCGAATTCCAGCACCAGCTTCCTGCCCAGCAAGTGCGTGTTCTTAAGGGCGTCCATGGCATTTTCCGCTTCACGAGCGCTTACAAAGTCAGCAAAACCGAAACCACGGGCCGTCCTGTCAAACTTCTGAGGCACCCGCACAGAGCGAAGCTGCCCATAGGCGCCAAAGAGCGACCGGATGTCTTTCTTGGTGGCCTGGAACGGCAAGTTCTTGATGATGATCTTTGTCCGTCTGGCGGCCACCTTCTTCGCGGTGTCCTCCCGTCTCCGCTCCTCCGCAGCATCCATTCCACGGTGAGACACCCTAACCACCAGTTCATGCTGATCAAGCTTGTAGCCATTCATCGCACCCAGAGCAGCCTGGGCCTGAGCCTTGGTGCGGAACTCCACAAAGCCAAAGCCCATACTGAGAGTCTGCCCAGGACGTTTGGGGTCAGGCTTGGTCTTGATCCTAGCGGTGATAAATCCATCCAGTGGCCGGAAGAGGTCCACAAAGCTCTGGTTGGTGGTAGAGAAGTTGAGGTTCTTTACAAATAGGGTGGTTGTGGGCAGGTTGTCATCAACAGCCTCATCTGCTGCAAACGTGTCAGCCGTGGAGAATCCTTGCGAGACAGCCTTGATCTCAGTGGATGGCTTCTGCGGCACAACGTTGGGATCAAATAGATCCTTGGGGGCCTTCTCTAGGAAGAGGATCGAGTCCCCTAGTTTGCGGTACGCAAGACCCTTGAAGGCTTTCTGAGCCTCGTCGGGGCGCGAAAACTCGACAATTGCTATGGTACCGCTGGGCGGCATCAGTAGCCTGGTGATTTGTCCATACGGATCAAATAGTTTCCTAATGTCCTCAGTCTTGACGCCATATGAGAAGTTCTTTACTAGGATAGCCGTGTTTCCACGTTCCCGTTGCTTGAAGGCTTCAATGTTGACGCCGTTGGCTGAGAAGAAGGCTTTCGTCTCCTGAATTACGTGCGTCTCAGCGTGCGCTTGCTTAACCGCTGCATCAGACGAAGTGGGGTCCAGCAAATCTGCTTTGGAAACACCAAGCCGTTCAGCTACTGAAGACATGACAGCGTCGGCCTGGTTTAGGTTAGCATTAGGACGCTTAAAGTTGCAACGAGTATACTCACGTTCATGTAAAGCGAGTTCCAGCTAAAAGAGGAAGACGCAGCCCCCATCTTCTTCTTGATTTGCATCTGCTTTTTCAGTGGCAGCTTCGCCAGCTCGGCCTCGTCAATCTTATACGTCTTCTTGGCAGCTGCCGGTAGAATATGCATCAAGCGGCCTTGGAAGTGCTTGCCATCCAGCTGCTTGTAGGCCTCTACGGCAGCATCAGCATTGACATACTGGATATAGGCAAAACCCTTGCTGGTGTTTGAGCGAGTATCAACAGCAACGTGGATCTAGTCATGTTAGCATCGACCGACCAAAGGATGAGTGGAATGAAAACATGAGAGGGTATAGCTCTTTCAGATATTCGAGGCATCTACTAAAATACTCGTTTCCTGGCAACATCATCTGCTTTGCATCGGATGTCCCTATCAGGTCGTTCATCATTGAGCTTGGGGGGGAGGGGTGACAAGGCAATGTATAACGCGATCAAAATCAAGTTACTAACCTCTTCAATTTGGCCGAAAGGAGAGAAGATTGGTTGCAGATCCGAATCCGACGTGTCATAAGCCAGATTGCGGACGAAGAGACGTGCTGAGATGCGAATGTTCTCGATGTTGGTGTCAACCTCCGGCTCCTTCGCTATTTTACCAGCGGAAGGTTCTTCGGTGGTTGCGACATCCTGAGCAGGTTCAACGTCGACTTCCATCCTCGCCTCTGACTCAACAGGAGCAGCAGGCTTCTGTTGTGCGGGAGAGTCAAACTCTGCTTGCTCATCCTCGTCGAGGAGGCCGAGAAGACGACTCGTCTTCGAGCGAAGCCAGTCCGCATCCGTAACAGGTGCCTGTTCTTCAGCAGGGGCGACAGCATCATCCTGATCCGCCGACGGCTCGGCATCACCCTCGCCACTATGATCGACGACCATGGGCTCCGGTTCCGCTTCAGCTTGTTGGTCCGCATCATGCGACTCTCTAGGATTAGCTGGGATGTCGCCGAGTTTGGCCTTCTTCCTCTGGGCGTAAGTGAGCTCCTGCGGCTCCTCTTCTTCCTCTTCAACGGGCTGTTCTGCAGGTGAGTTTGTCTCTGGGGCTTTTGGCATAGCATCGTCGTTGGCCCACGTCTTGGTCTTGGACGAGTGCTGCATTACGGAAAGGTACTCCTGCAGCTTGGGATCTTCGGTCTTGTCGCCATCGCGCTTACGCTTGAGCGAACTTCCCGTATCGTCATGATCCTGGGGGTTGCCAGACTTGCGGGCTCTTGAGGGAGGTTCGGCATCAATCTACAAATTACTGGTCAGTCACAAGACCACCTTAATCGTCAGCGGGGTAAGACAAAAAAAGAAAGAAAGAAAGAGAAGGATAAATGCAACGAGAGCAACAGGTGAAACACATACCGGCTTAGCAATGTCTACTGAGATCCTGGACATCTTCACGTAGGTCTTATTGAAATAAGACACGGCCTCTTGGGCAGCCTCGTGGCTCTTGAAGCCCACGAAGCCGATCCTGCGTTTGGGCAATACATGAGCGTCCGTGACCTGGAAGCGACTGGCGAAATGCTTTCTCAATTGATCATCAGAGAAAGTTGGCGGAAGGCCAGAGACAAAAACTCTGGTGCTTTCCATGATTGAGTAGTGATTTGCTTCAGGTTCCTGTGGCCTACTCTCTCGAAAAGTGTGCGTGCCACAGGAATCGGGATGTGGAAGAGGGGAATCCGGGAAACAGAAAAAAAAAAAAGAAAAATTGGGTGGGAGCTTTTTTTATTTTCGTCTTCCTTATAGTGCCGAAGGCGGTGTGGAGGGCGGCATGACCCGAGCCCCATCGGCTGGGGATCATTGCGGGCGCGCAACTTGGAATTGTTGATTCCCAATACTCCTGGTTAGGCTTCGTTGGTACTTTCTGCGCAAACGGATTTTGACTATTTCTCCGATCTCTGGATCTTTCTTTTCATTCTGAAACCTGTGAGCAACGCTAAACTACAAACAAGATGGCTTCCGAAAAGAAGGACAAGCTTGAGCGTGAGTTAACCCCCGGCATGATGGAGACGAGAGCTAACGGGGTTGTTTAGCGCAGATCAAGTCCGTTGATATGGTAAGGAGAGGGAGCGCTAAAGGGGCTTGGAACAACACTGACGGGATACCAGACGGAGGACATGCAGCAGGAGGCTGTTGAAGTTGGTATGGTTGACTGCGGGGCTGATCTTGATCCCAACTAATGCGGGCTGTTTAGCGATCGAGGCGATGGACAAGTACCACATTGAGAAGGTAGGTTCCTTCGATCGCAAGTCACCTAGATACTCTACTGACAGTCGCAGGATATCGCCCAGTACATCAAGAGAGAGGTCAGCCGCCGCTCCGTTACTCGAATTCCAGCATTCCGCTTACAACTTGGCAGTTCGACTCGCGCAAGGGTGCGACATGGCACTGCGTGGTGGGAAGAAACTTTGGCAGCTTTGTGACACACGGTGGGTACAGCTGAAAGCTCTTGGGGGATATGAACTGATTGGGACTGCAGAGACAAAACACTTCATCTACTTCTACCTCGGTCACTGCGCCATCCTCCTTTTCAAGACTCAATAAGCATGCGAAGGGCACACAATGGTCGATATTGTTAAGCGTTTCCTGTACCTATTTCGGAGTTCTTTGCAGGCGAGTCACGCCGAGATATGTTCATATATAAATTGAAATATTGGCGTGGTTATTCTTATACCATTGCGACCGGCCGAGAGGACATCACATGGTGGGGGGGAGCTCTGTAAACAAAAGCTACTATTTTGCAGGAGCATTTTCTGGGTTCCATTATTCGCAGAGAGGTCATCTTATGGTATACGTTATATCTGATCATCGCAAGTCTTCTTGCTGCGCTGCGTAGCTCTTCACGGTGGAAGGTGATTGTACCTTCCAGGGACAGTCCTCCAAGGCTCTAACCCCATAGCACCCCCAAATCCCCGAGACCGGCCCGCCAAGGCCCAGCAGTCGCAACCACCCACTGCCAAGCCACACCGCCGCCACACATCCGCGCCTCCCAGCTCCAGCTCTTTTAACATGGCTGCCTTCCCCTACGATCGTCTCCCTGCGTTTCGAGCATCGAACGAGCAACTGAACGCCGTCCGTGACGATTTCCACTCTTTATCTATCTCGATCACAATCCCTCTCGCTACCAATCTTCCTCTGACTGCCACACAAACATCTCAAGATGGCCATCTGCATCACCTTCGGGACTCATGGTACGTGCCTGACCACTACGTAACTGATCAACTCCACCCTCGCCACAGCGGCATCCCCCATCTCCCCCATAGACCCTGAAAAGAGCGCCCGGTTTCGGCATTCAAGCTAACACCACTGCACCACCCCAGAATTCACGTCCATGCTAGAAGGCTACGAGAATGTTCGTGCCTACTGCTACAATTGTGAGTACATCCCTAACATCCAGTATTTTTACTGTGGACCACCTATCAGTAAGCTCTTGAAGGGATATAGTAGCCGCTTTCTCCTGCTATCTAAATATAGTATAGCAACAGCGGCACTATAGGCTATACAGTACAGTAGTACCCTCCGAAGACCCAACCTTTTACTGACGAAACAACTCCACCCTCATCAGGCCAGCATTGGAACGGACACTGCCTTACAAGATGGTAAGCCTTACCTTTATTTCTTTTTCAAAGTGATACCCTTTATTAGTTGTGATGTGACACTAACCAAGCCAGGCCCTGGTTCACCGTCTGCTTTGTTGTATGTTCGGCCCCGCGACGGCCCGAGGCATCAATCACCTGGAGCTTGAACACTAGCTAACACGATTCCTTTTTTTCAGCCTGTCATTCCTCTCGCCATGCATAAGTACAAGGTATTCAAACTCCCCTCTAAAGCAACTAGGTATCGAAACTCACGATCGACTATAGGAAGTAACCTGCTACACATGCCGCTTCACCCAGGATCTAGGGTACGCTTCCCAACACATGATCTCCAAACCTACGACAGCAACTAACTATCATCGGCGTACAGCGACCGTCCAGATATCACGCCGGAGACAAGACCTCCTCCGGGAGTCATACCGGGCCAATTACCCCAGGCGTATGGGGGCGGGGCGCCGTACTATCCGCCTCCCCAGGCATCGGGCGCGGTGGCACCGCAGCAGCAGCAGCAGCAGCAGCAACCAGGACAGCAGAACTTTGTGTATAAGTAAATGTTTTGATGTTTCATGTCGGGGTTCTGTTGTTTTGTCCTTAGTTTTTCATCGACGGTGTGTGCGCGTCGTCTTCATGTTGGATTGGATTGGAAGATACCTCTTTGCTTCCTGCTTGTTTGTCCATTTGTTTGATGCTATGTTGCATACTGTAGTGTTTATCCTCTGCAAAAGGCGAATTGAGATTCATTATGATAAATATTGCCATTCACTAAATAGACTAAAAACAACAGTGGGGGTATATATAACCGAGAAAAGAACCAAAACCTCCCTCATCAGCGAATCCATAATCCTCATCATCATCATCACAAGCACTCAATCCAGACCAAACCAGAATATCCTCGAATCTATTTCTCCCCCTCCAACACCCCCTTCTCCCCAGCATACACCGGCGTCTGCACCCCAGAAACCGTCTCACTTCCCGTCCCCGCCGCCGGCGTCGTCACCACCACCTCGCCCTCGATGGGCCTCCTCCTCGCCCCGCCCCTTCCCATCAAATCCAGGGTCATCAACCGCACGGTGCGCACCATACTCGTCCGGCCCTCATACAGCGGGAACACCACGACGCCGAAGGTGGTGCAGAACAGCCACAGCAGGCCGACCACGATCCAGCCGGTGAAGAACTTCTTGCTGAAGACGTACGCGCTGCCGTACATGGGCACGGGCCACAGAATCAAAAAACAAAACACCATGACGACGGTCAGCGTGCGCGAGTAGAAGGCCGCGCGGTTGAGCTTGCGGGTCTCCTCTTCCTCCTGCGCGGCGGTGCGGGCCGCGACTTCGCCGGGGATCTGCTCCAGGTCGGCGGCCGCGACGTCGGTGTCGTCCACCTTGCGGATGGCGCGCATGCTCTCGTAGTCGTAGTTCTGGGAGCCGAAGATCAGGGTCAGGACGGGGGAGAAGATCATGGGGCTCAGGAGGGCGGCGACGTTGCCGGCTAGCATTGGGTAGCTGGGTTATGTTAGTTTTTTTCGGTTCTCTTGAATGAGGTTTTTTTGGGTGGGGGGCAGGGATGAATAAAACGTACTTGGAGCCGGTCGTCGTGACGGTTAGGACGCCGTATTCCTTCTTCGCAGTCACTAGCCACGCGATGAGGGAGACCGCCAGACCCAACGGGGGGGAGACTGCCGCGGCGATCCAGTTCTGGTGCTTCCAGACCAAGGTCATGGCGCCGGGGAACACGGCGGAGGAGATGATGACTCCCATCAATAGGTACAGATAGCCCATGCTGATCCCGGCGTAGTACAGACCAGTGGAGAAGGCAGCCATGGCGATGGCCCAGACGACGCAAGTCATGTGTGAAATCCAGACCAGGCGCTTGCCCTTGGCTTCGGGGTTGATGTAGCCCTGGTAGATGTCGTAGGTGAAAATGGAAGAGACGGCGATCAGTTGAGCCGAGAAGGCGGAGGTCACCGCCATGAAGATCATGATCGTGGTGCATACCGCGCCGCTGTAGCCGAGCAGCTTGACCGCAGCAAAGGGCAACACAAGTCCGGCGGACACGTCACTCGAGCTCAAACGCTGGGTGCCCTCAAGAGCGAGGGCGGTCATTCCCATGGTGCTGGCGCAGAGCCAGGGGATGGCAAACCAACAGAGACCGCCGATGACATAGCCGGGAAAGGCGTGCACGGGGCTTGCTGCGATGGCTTTGTTGTAGTATCCGTTGTCGAGAAAGACAGTACTGTGTTGGGGTTAGCGATTGACCGAACGCGTGGCGTACAGAAAGACGAACCCAAAATTGCCCACAAGGTTGATCACCCAGAAAATGCCACCCTCCTTGGATCTCATAGTCAGATAGCTTCCCTCTGCGTTGCCCTCCACGGGGTGGCGGTTCGATGCAGCAACAAGTGCCTCATAGACCGCGCCCGGGGATCCAAGCTTATCGTTTGTGGCATAGGCAGAGAAGGCGAAGATGAAGATGACGACAATGATGACCACGGTGTGCATGTAATCTGTTATGAATGTCGCCTTGATACCACCGAAGAGAGTATAGAGCACAACACCGATCGGGAGGAGAAAGCAGGCTGCAACTGTGTGAACTCCGGTAAGAGAAGTCATGACGGCAGAGCCGCCGGTGAGCAGCATGGATGTAACCAGGATGTTGGTCATCACACAAAAGACGGTGAAGACAATGTGGACAGTAGTTCCATAGCGGGCACGGATGGCTTCAAGGAAGGTGTGTGCATTTGGAGCACGGCGTTTGAGCTCAATTGCCAGTGTTGCAAATAGGATGATCTGAACAGTAGCACCTTAACAAGGTATTAGTAAGTAGTCAATGCCTAGTTCTTTGATTGTTCTCACCTGAGGCATAGAAGAAGGGACCTGAGATGCCATATTCATAGGCTACTGTGGACGACTGAAGAAGAGTTGCGGCCCAGGTCCAGCTACTGACGACAGCTGCTGCAACCAGCCCAGACTTGACGGATCTTCCTGCAGTCGAGAACATTTCCGACGTTTGTACTTCATGCTGGTACCTGTGGGGCTACATTAGCTTGGCTGTCACAGGCAGGTGCAATTGATCCATAGTTCAGGTCAATACCTCTTCAAGGCCCACGTAATGAAGATCATAAGCAAAGCGAAGGCAAAGCCCAGCCCAACGATGATCCCATAGCCAAACCCTTGGGAAAGGGGGGCTGTGAAACTGACTGTGTCCGAAGACATAATGACGTCCCTCGCCGAGCTTGTGTGTATGTTATGGCGATTTTGGTGCTCTCTGTTGTCTCCCCAAGTTTGGGTGTGCTCCTTGATTGAAAATGGGCTTGGAGATTCTACCGGAAATGGACGATCTGTAAGAGATCATATAGGCCAGCGGCGCAATGGTAAAATCTCCGACCTCGCAGCCACATCTTGATCAACACGATCATGATGGCTGCAATTGGATCTGAGCGCAGGTTCGCGGAGTACAAAGAGTCATCGATAAGACGAGGCCATCGCTATCAATTCGTAATGGGGCAGCAGCTCCAGGCCGGGGAGCCAGAACAAACACTGAATCTCGCTTAAGAGAGCTAGACCCAGCAGCTCTGGCGTGTTCATGCCGCATCTTTTTCGTGGAGGCGGGTGGAATCCATGAAGTCTTTTGGGTTCTTGCAGATCCACTCTATCTTTGATAGCACCGCAAGGCCTTGTCATTGGCCGGGAGAGCATTTCTTATCAGCGGAGGTCAGCGAAGACCCCCGCCATTGGCCAGTGCGAGGTACAGTGGGAGTTTAAGGTGATAAGAAGCCGGAAACTGGGAGATAAGCTAGAACAGTGCCATGAAACCATATGCCAGAGGGTGATTTGTTGATGCCAAGACTGCCTGTCTAATCTTGAAAATGATATCAATCCGTTTACTCGCTTCCTCGCTTACTCGATCTTGCCACTAATGGATTGAGCACCGTGCTTGTGGCCGTGGGGAAACCCACGCGGACCCTGCATAGTGCATACCAGGACCTACTACGGAGTACGGAGTATGCAATTACAGTAAGTTGAGCTTGAAAAGGTGTCCTTTTTGCACTACATTCGATTTTCCTTGGTGGGGAGGTCCAAAGGGTCCAGTACCCAACAAGCCTCTCTGCTCGCTGTGCATGCGGCAATAAGCAACATTCTACACAGCTCTGGGCACGGTGAGCTGATCAAAACGACCCTGAAGCACTTCAGAGATAGTATCGGCGCTCTCACTAAGGACGGGAGCACTGACCTAGAAGAGTTGTTGTCTGTCACTGAGGTGGTCTGTCGTCACTGGCTATCAATCCAAGCCATCGTTCCCGTCGCCATCTCGGCAAAGGAAGCATTCTCGAATTGGTGAGTCCGGGCTCTCTGGTGCGGGAGATCTTAGTGTTACGGGTCGGTGACCCTGTCCCTTGATCTTGATCGGAGTCTCGGGGCTGTCGCCTTGCAGCTGCAGGCCGCTGATTGGCCACGCTGATGTACTCTAGGAGGCATCTGATAATTATTGCCAGGATCATAAAACATGACAATATCCATGGATGATAGTGGTCATTGTTAGGTTGAGATTGTTAATGACCGCTTTCTGGTGACACTTTGAAAGGAATCACTCACCTGTGGATCGACAGCACCCCATTCGACCAGCTAGTTTGACTAGCCCTACACTCATGTTTATCACAACTAAAGATGGTTGTTGGTATATCAAACCCACCTCATGTTATCAACATAAGCTCGTTCGTACTCCGTAGGAGAACCCGAACCGATCAGGGGTAAAAATGAAGACGGCGCAATCGAGGAAAAGGTGGCATGACACGCGATCAGCACTAACCCCAAAGCTACCAACCAGCCAGATATACACCATCCCAAGGCCCCCCTGGACAAGCCACCCAACATGAACACCACCGCGATCCAAATCACCATCACCAACATGGCCGACGATCACACCCCCAACCTGACAATCTACCAAGACGCACACCTAACCGTCGACCTCACCCTCCGCCCCACCACCCCAGGCCACGCCGTCGCAACCCTCACCACGAACCAAACCAACCTGTTCAACCTCCCCCTACCAAGTTTCGTTGAAACCCTCCAAACGCTCCGCACGATCGCCTCCCACCTCCGCAAGACACACAATGTCCACCGCTGCGCGCTGATCACGACGGGGGGGACGACCCTCTCCCTCCTGCCGCTCCACGGCCTCACCCCGCAATGGAGCCCAGTCATGCACCCCACCCAGGAATACCACCCGCAGTACCCGGGGTACATCACGTCGAGAGACGCGCCGCAGCTGCCGACGCCGCAGCTCAACACCATCCGCAGCTCCATCCTCTTCGCCGCCTCCCAGTCCCCGACGACCTACCACGCCGACCACACCTTCCACGGCCCGGACCCGGGCGACGCCAACCTCTTCGCGCGCCTCGTGCGCGGGGAGCTCTCGCCGCAGTGGCGCGTCTGGGAGGACGCGCGCCACGTTGCCTTCCTGACGCCGTACCCCAACACCCCGGGGTTCACGGTGGTGGTGCCGCGCGCGCACCTGCCGAGCGACATCTTCTCGCTGGCGCCGGCGGAGTATGCCGCGCTGGTGGAGGCGGCGCACACGGTGGCGAGGCTGCTGATCCGGGCGTTTGGCATCGAGCGCTGCGGGATGATCTTCGAGGGGTTCGAGATCGACTACGCCCATGTCAAGCTGGTGCCCATCCGTGGCGGCGGGGCTGATGACTACGATGATGCCGACTTCGACCGCTACGGCATCAGTGAGCCCTTCCAGGAGACCTACCAGGGGTATGTCTCCTCCTTGCCGGGGCCGCGAGTGGCAGATGTCGAGGAGGTGGTGAGGAGGGCGGCGGAGGTGAGGGCGTCGGTCGGTTCGGATTCTTAGCTTTGCGCTGGGGTGGGACGGGGACCGGTCATCTAGACCTTGATTACTTTCAAAAGATGTTATAATACTATGAACCAATCTTTCTGTACGTTTGCCTCCGTCGTGCTTTCTCGCTATGAACATTTTCGCCTCTCCTCCCTCTCTCAGAGAGACTGCTATGGCAGGGGCAGACAGCGATTGAGGGTTCAAGACGCGGGGACTGGAAGAGCTCCAGCCCAAAATGTGTATGCAGCAGCTCATATGCGAAGCCGTGAGTCGCCTAGAACAGAACAACGCTTCCTCTGCTTGCAGGGACACTGGACTGGCCAATAATCTATGAGCTTGATATAAGCCTGTTATACCAACAACTTCTCACACTTCTGATAATACGAAGTATCGGAAACTTGAGATAGCCTTTAAGGTATGGCACCATGAATATCAGAAGGTAGAAGTCAAGTACTGCATGTGCTACCAGTATACTATATCCTCCGGGGCATATCAAATTCCTGTAGAGCTGCCTCTGGAAGGCACTGGTGTATGTGGACCGATTAGTCACTCGGCTCCTCACATTCGCGAAGCATCATAACCTTCGCTAGCCTATACAGCATGGCTCTCAACCTCTCTCGCCTTACTTCTTCTCCTGTTTTGTCCTTTGCTTCGCCAACCAGATCTATCCCCACAGCTTCACTGTCCTCGAATCCCGGAAGCTTCCCTAATCTGCCCTTTGTAAGCAAGGTCTAAAGTCTGCTTCTGGTAGTTTGCCCACTCTTTCCCCGTTCGGAGTCGATGGAATCGGTCCTTTGGCTGAAAACGCCGCTGGGGACAGTAGCCATTTGGTCGGAACTCGTTTTCATTGATAAGCACTAAAATTACACATATGCAGTTCATTCCAATTCTCTCTTTCTCTTTCTCCCTTAAGAGATTCGCCTCTGCTTGTTCGAGCATGTCCATTTCCATCCTATGCGGCAGATAGGTATGAGCCTGGGCAAAATACAAAAGCGCGCTGGGTCAAAAGGCGTGTGTGTTGCGAAAAGATGTCTCCATCACCGGCGCACGCAGAAAATAACGGGTAAAGGGGGGACACCAGGGGGTATATGATTTCGAAGGTGGTAAATGATGCGACGATCTGATTCTCTCGGTCGGAGGTCGGCCCAAGCCAGCCACGCCGCAGGGCTGAATGTAATTCACTGATGAATAGCGTGCTGCGTATCAGGAAATCCAGGCTGAAGAGTGTCTAGCGGTGGACCGATGGCGTTTGGGCGCTGATTTACGAGGAGAACTTGCGGGTGATCTTGGCGATGACTAGAAGGCAGAAAGCTATCAGTGGGACTCTTCAAGTTGATGCTTGAGAGTTGGGTGAGACGTACCGTGCAGACCAACGACAGAGAAGATGAATCCCAGACTGAGAACCAGGACGACAACGGGGTCGACCCTCAAGCCGGGGCTCTCGTCGGTGTAGAGCTTCAGCATTGTGCCAGAAGAACCGCCGGCACCGGCAGCGCGGGTCGAGCTGGGCCGCGCATTGCGGAGGGACTCCTTGTGGTCAGCGGCCGCGCGGCGACGCAAAGCAGCCCGGGGACCACCAGGAGGAGTAGGGGAGGAAGGACGGTTGACGGATGAGACGGCAGAGGCACCGGAGCCAGCGCCGGCAGACTTGGAGTCAGGGCCGGACTCGGCCCCGGAGGTCAGGGGAGAAGCAGCACGAGGAGAAGCCTATAGCACTGTGGTCAGTTCCAATTCAATGCTGAAGTGAATGGCGGCGGTCGGCTTGGGGGGGGGGTCATCCAGCTTGCGCAAAGGACATTCGAGGTGCGCGCTCAGACAACCGACAGGAACAACCAACAGGATGAGGGCACTGACCATTATGAAAGTGGAATCAAAAAAGGGCTCAAGAGCAAAGAAAACAAGTACAGTATTAAAGTTGATGAATGAAGAGATAGATGGGTCAATTGGCCGATGGAACAAGGAAGTGAGTCGGCTAGGGAGAAGAAGGACGAGGTGGATGGTAGAAGGTCGGGGGAGGTGAAGGTGCGGGTTGCCAGAAAGAGGCCACGCTCACGTTTCCATTTGGCGGGTTACCGTCACATACAATTCTGCCGAGCCGCAATCGATTGCGAGAAAGCGGCCAAGCAGTTCACCTACATTCAAAAGCACGAGATTGTATAACAAAAGTTCTCGACTTTCAATAACTACCTCCGATGTGATGTAACGGCTAGCATACCTGTCTTTCACACAGGATATCGGGGTTCGATTCCCCGCATCGGAGTCGCAAGATTGATTTCTTTTTGCTGAGGTTTTGCCCTCGATTCTACAGTGGGAGCCGAAATTCCTGGCCTGGGGCTTGGTGATATGGTCCGTGCTCCCGCCTACCGCCCTCGTCTCCTCCAATGGCATCACGGGGAGCTGATGTTTTCTCGGCAAATGAGCCCTACCAAGGTAGGCGGTCTGAAAAGCCCTCACTGGAACACCTTGGGTCTCATGAATACTACTCCGTACCTCAGTTATCATCTCTCGGACACTCACTCGTTAGTTATACCTAACTCGCTATCTTGCATCCTCTATTCGTGTCATGTCGCTTTCTTGAGATCTCATCATGGATATGTGCCTTAACTGTCAGAAGTATAGCTGCTTGGACTATGCCACTGACACCAATCCCAGAATCGCCTTTCCCCTGAACGCACAAGTCTACGAGCAAGTTCCTTTGGTTTTACTGCAGTGTCTGCACCCAAGTGTCTAGTAGATGCAAGCACTGGGCTCACTGTCTAATCAACGACCCGCTGGAATTGTCACTAATTTAGTCTGGGATCTGGATTGTGCGGGATAGAGAACTGAGAACCATGTCGAAGCTCGAGTGTAGAGGCTAGCGACCCTGTCAACCATCCGCCGGTTCCTTTATGGAATAGTGCTCGAGTCAGGGTAAATATGAATCAGATGTCACCATGGCGATGGATCCTACGCAGCATACGGAGTGCTACGTAGACCCCGTCCCCATCTAGCCTGTCAGAAGAGAACTGCTGGGAATTTATCTGTTAAGACCGCTGTTTCACAAAGAACCGAGTCTTCCTCCGAGTGGACAGACAGCCACCTGAGGGAACGGCAGGGAGGCACTAAAATAGCCACACCATGCCACACCAGGGTCACCGCATGGCCACAGTAGCTGTGGGTTGTGGCTTGTTTCCCTGCACTCCAATCCTCTCTCTTCTTGAACGGTTGCAGTACGTAGCAGCATAAGACTGAACCGCTAGCTACCCCCTCACATCCCAGTGGTGGGATAATACCCTGCATAACAACAAGTACAAAGGCAAGGCAAGGTACTAAGTGACTAGCAGATTGGCAAATTGAAGAGGAGATGGCAGGCTAGGTAGAAGAGTACGTAGCCCTCCCCCGGTCATCGGATTAACAATGGGGGTTGTTGGCTCCTTTCTGCCTTAGGCGACTCGCGATCTCCATCTTATCTTTCGATAGGAACCACTGCGCTACATTGTGGTTTCCAGTGATGGGCCTTGTGATAGCTAATCATTCCCCTTGAGAATTCTCTAACATCAATGGCTCGATTCAATTGACAGCTGAAGTGGCAGCGGTTCTTTCCCATTGACGTCCGGCACATTCTTGCCGGTCCAAGTCAGGCAGAAACCGGGGGGGGGAGAGGAGAAAGATGCATAAATTGAACCATGGAATCTGGCCCCCGTCCATCCCCCGGGCGAAATTTTGGTTTCAAAGGTTCGCAGCAGGCAGACAGCCAGCCAGCCCATCGCATGGGTCCGACCCGCCCCACTGCAACGCGACAATTCAGGAGTACTCGAGGCTAGTTTATTTCTCCCTTGAGTTAGTCTCAGGCACGGGTTATTTCTACGTACGAATCCTAAGATTACTAGCCACCACCGCCATCTCATTCTCCATAGTATGAAGTACTCCGTAATACCGTACGGACTCCTGTGTAAATGTAAATTATCCCGAGGATAATTAGCCAAGACTGGACCTGCCGTGACTCGAATACCAAGAACTCCTGAGAGGTGTTAGAGCGACATAAGACATTAAGACGGCATAAGATTCTAATTAAAAAGTTCCCGTGCGCGAGTCAACAGCGAGATTAAGCACCACAAATTTAGAACTGAGGTGGAATACTCCTCAGTGGACAATCCAACAAGTTACAACACAACTCCAGTCAACTTAACTTCATACCGTTAACTGTCGCCGGTTAAGGCTATTTATTTTTCTTAGTCGCATTTGTTGTCGGTGGTGTCCGTCCGGTGGGGAAGAGAAGTGGAAAAGAAACTCCCATCCAGTTGCATTCCTTTTTCTGTCTGTCTGTCTGTCTGTTCATTCTGCTTGTCTGCTTGTCTGTCCGTCTGTCTGTGTTTCTTTCTTCCTTTCTACCTTTCTCTCTCCCCCCTCTGTTCTATTCTTTGGGGATCGACCCTGCAGTTTCCCCTTTGAATCGGACACTTGACCCTTCCGTTGCGTCTGGAACTTCAGCTGGACTTCTTCCGCTTGGCTGCTTCTTTTCTTTGCCCGCCCGACCGGCAGAGGTAAAAAAGTAAGTATCTTCGTACTCGTAATAATACATTTTCCTCCTCTTCCTTCTTTCGCCTCGTTGTTTCCTCCTCACTGCGGCTCAGACTTCCCTTTCTTCCCCCCATCGTCCCCCCCCGTTTTCTGTTGTCCTCCACCTGTCCCTCATCTTCAACTCTCAGCAACTTCCTCCTCCTCTTCCTCTTCACCAACACTCGTTTCTCAACCTATCAGTCTTTCTTTCACAACTAGTCTCTCGTTTTCTGTCTCCCACCCACTCACAACCCCCTCATTCCCGGCTGAAACCGACACACCGAACTGACTCGTGACCCTGCATGTGCTCAGCCTTACACCCAGCCAGCCTGGTCCTCCACCAGTCCCGAGCCATCGACCACCGGACTGAGCCTCCCCGCCAAATCTCCGTCGCGACTTTTCTCACCCGGCCTAGTAACTAAACACATCGCCCCTAGAGATCTCGACATTTTCCTTGTCGCTCGCCGCCCAGCCTTTTGGACAACCCTCCATCCGGTCTAGGCTGATTTTCGGGAGATTTGGTGTGGCTTATGCGCCTGGTATCCTATCGTCACCCTTTCGGTCGTTATCGAGAATTCACCTCCTGAACCACCAAGAGTCTTTTCGGGCACGGCGACATATCTCAGAGTTTGGGGATCAGGTCAGCCAGAACAACACTGAACTCATCGTCAACTCGACCTCCGACTTTCCGATCTCCTACCGATACGAAACTCGCCGCCGTTTGGTGGTGAAACCAGCATATTGTATCCCGATCCCGATCCTCCGACGGACACCAGCTCCGTCACGGAGCACTTCGTCAAAATTTATTCCAATACATCGCGGGCCTCCCTCCTGGGGGGCTCTTTTGATCCGTCCTTTCGGCGTGGTTTTCGTGGACGGGAAGGATACACAAACGTTCCTCCGGATCCCCCAAAGCGACACAGGATGTACCGCCCCAATTCTCTGTGGACGTGGTCCTTCTGCATTGTCACCCTTGTCCAAACGATCATTACCCTCGCCCTGGAGTGGTATGTGCAAATAGTCTTTATGCTGAATTCGTCCGGTCCGAGGCTAATCCTTTCGCAAAAGTTATATTTTCGTCAATTTCCAGGTTCAATTGCTCCCATCGGCCGCCACCACGACTGCCTCAAAACCTATTCCAACCTTCCTAGCCCTCTATAGCTTCGGGTTCATCTATGAGCTGATTCTCGTTTACGATGCGCTACGTCTTAAGAACACTATTCAGGTTATCGGACTGTGCATGTGCAATATCGGCTTGTTGATTTACGGGGCCGTGCAGGTGCAACAAATCCGCGATGCTGTACAAATCTTATGGGACAATGGTGCTATTGCGGAAAATGTTTGGGGAGAAACGGAGCCATTCCTTATCATCATCCCCTGCGTTGTGGCTATGGGTTCAATCTTGATGGTAATTGTTGCCTGGAAACTATACGACGAGTTCGCGTGGTCGATCTACAAACATATCAGCGCCGATCTGCGAATGAAGCGCCGGTATCTGACTTACCAGGTATGTATCCGGACAAGGCATACACGCGGCGCCCATGCTTACAACCATGTCAGATCTACATTTCGCTTCTGAAGTTCGACTTCTTCTTCTTCCTTGGTTTCACCGTTCAATTCGTCGTTATCGTCACGAATAGAACCGACATCGAATTCGCCCTTACGCTGGCTGCCATTCCCGTGACGATCATCATTCTGATCTGCGCGGCCTTCTTCGTGCGGCGCGAAAGTTCGATTGGCATGATTGTCGTCATTGTATGTTTTGGTGGCACTTGATTAAGTCCCGCAGATCATCCACTGACCGTCTCGCTAGCTCCTTTACTTCGCAGCCATGGCCTATTTCTTGTTCAAGCTAGTCCGGATGTACCAGCCTGGTACCTATGACCTATACCTGACTGCTCGGCGCTCTTTGACATTCTTCGCCGTCATCACCCTCGTGCTCATCGTCATCACCATTATCAACGCCTGTGTGTGTATGCACAACTTCCACAAGGGCCTGAAGCAACATGTACACAAGAAGAAGACGCAGAACAAAGAGGGCAAGACGACTGAGCTGTCCTCCAATATCTCTTCTGGCCAGGTGCCTACTCGAATGATGATCGATTGAGCAAATCGCAGGCTACATTCTACGAGTTCTGGAGAGAGACAGAAAAGACCCAAACGACCAAAATATGCCATGTTCGATTCTCATATCGTCACCCCGACGCTTGTTCGTGGGGCGATGTTCTATTACAGATTAGCGAGTTTGTGCGACATTTTTGCCGGCAGAGTTTCCTAATACCTTGGATAGTTGAAGACTGCGCGCGTTTCCCGGGATTTACCACATGATACCTACTGCTTTGTTCGACATTTTGACGACTCATCAAATACCCTTCCTTTCATTTACATACTGACTCTCCTTGCCTCGTGCCGGACCTCCGCTATATCTGGCCCACCATCCTACTTCACTGTGCTTGTTCCTGGTGGCGCTATATCCGGCGTCATATTGACGATTCTTGTATTTTTCCTTACCTCTCTGATTATGTCAATATCACGACTGTGCATCTGTTTTCATGTACTGTATGTAGTTTATTAATCCACCTAAAACTGTCATTAGATGCGGTACGTGGGGTAGCGTTGTAACATTCAGTATCCGCTAGGATGGGAGGGATGACGGAGGGAGGAAGGAAGAGATGAAAGAGGCCGGGGAGCCCGCAGTTGCGCACCTGCTCTCCGTTCAAGGTTGTTTGGGGACGCTGTCTGTGGTACCAATTGGGAAGGTCCGACCGGGAGTACCTTCGCGTACCTACCTGGAAGAACCGTGTGCGATTTGTCTCGACGGGCTCATGGTGTGATATTGTTAACTTGTTGCAGATATGTCAAAATGAGAATCCAAAAAAAAAATGAACGGATCTTGCGACTCCGATGCGGGGAATCGAACCCCGATATCCTGTGTGAAAGACAGGTATGCTAGCCGTTACATCACATCGGAGGTAGTTATCAAAAGGTCGAGAGTTTGTGTTACATATTAGCTGGTTTATACAGCGATTGGTACACAATGAACAAGAGAAGCGTCTTCTATACAGTCTACTTTGGCTTTTTCTACTAAGTATATGCCTTCGGCTTCTATCTACCAGATTTGTCCCTACTCAAGTCCGATCTGTCTCTATATCCCTTATCCGTCTACTGTTCTATGCTGAAATAGGACTCCAGTGTCCTCCCTGGGTGGGTCTACATTGCTTGGACGACTGGGGTGGTTCTGCCCCTCTGTTGGGGTGCCATCTTGCATATGTTTGTCTGGTATACTAAGTATGTCTTGAGATATTGGGATGGATGTCGGTCCTGGCCGTGCCGCTCTTGGTGCGCAACGCAGCACTCCTGGGTATCGTTTGAGGCAGACGGTTCCTGTTGCGTGGAGCTTGTGGGGTCTGATGGCGCGGCGAGAGACACGGCAAGATATACCGGCGCCTGTTGTTGTGGGGATCGGGTCTTGGGCAGGCACCGATGTGTTGGCGTTTTGATTTTCGGTGTTGTCTTGGTGTTTGGGTCAGGTCTGTGCACCTCACAGTGGTTGATGTCGGTGTCCCGTCATCGTCCAATCATTATATGTGATGTAAGTGCCCGTGTTTCGCTGGGACGATGGAGCTCGTGCAGCAGATTCGGATGCTGGGCCGAAGATATATACAGTTCCCATCCATGGGTCCGGGTTGTCGAGGCACCTGTGACGCAGTATGTTTTTTTTTGGTTCTCTATACTCGCAGTCCGGCAATATGTGTGAGGCCAGAGAAGGGGTGAAGAGTTTGAGGGTCATGGTATGGAAAGAATATTGATGAACTTGCTAATTATATCACAACACTAGTGTTAAGACTGTGGCTGCCTTGGAGCCGAAAAGTGGTTTGTTGGCTGTGTTTGCATCTGTAAGCATATTGAAGAGAAGCTTCAACAAGGAGGCCGGATGGTGTAGTTGGTTATCACGTATCGTTAACACCGATAAGGTCCTGGGATCGAGCCCCAGTCTGGTCATCTCTTTTTGCACATATGGGCTCGCCGCGTTAGAGATATTCCGTTGTCCTTTTTTAGTGCATGAAAGAATCCAACCACACATACAACATCGGAGGGCATCGGAGAACAAGGTTATCGGTGAACACCCACACAAGAGAAGCACTGAAGCTCAGGGCCGTATGACATACAATTAAGTGATAACAACAATACGATGGCCATGTTCGTGCCGTACTGGTTCTACGGGGGCCACTCGCTCTCGCACAATCAATGTTCAATGCCCTCATATCGGAATCTATGGTTTTCAGGTGCCGCTTGAAGCAGTTCAGTCCTTTGGGCTATGTTGCTGCATGTAGATCTCGAGGGTAAAAAGCAAAGAATATCAGAAACAGTGGCCAGCCTGCATGTGCAAAAAGAGATGACCAGACTGGGGCTCGATCCCAGGACCTTATCGGTGTTAACGATACGTGATAACCAACTACACCATCCGGCCGATTGATACCTGCAGCAAGGCATCTTGACGTCAAGTCAAAATTCCAGGCTAGCAGTCACATCAGTACTCACTACTCACCCTTATCCATGGAACCTGATACTCTGGAAAAGCAGCAACATGAACGACTCGCTCACCGTTGTATCGCTTTCGTTGGCAGCGATCCATTTACCTGGACCATTCCCCGCCACTGACTTGGCATGGTGATAGTCGCGCTCGCCAACATCGAACCCCCACTTCTAGACGAACAGACGACTCGTACAATGACAATAAGGTCCACTCACAATGAGCAACTGTCCATCTCAGCCTCGACCTGGATGCCAAGTACGGATAAACCATGTGGGCTCTAGCACCCGAACCACCCAGTCACATTTCACCCTCAGCAGCCACAGCCGCACGTCGCTCGGGCGGGGTTCAGGGATACTTTTACATTTAGTGCTGCGCGGCTGATGGGCTATGCTTCGTCCATTTGTTCCCGCTCCCCTGCCCCTCGGACAACGGTCGACATGCATAAACTATTATAGTGTTGTATCTACCGGCGGCGCGGTCTACCCAACGGTTGGGATGCCATTGTGTACCCAGCCGATCATCTGAGCGTGAATTCTCGCGGATAGAGTTTTGCCACACCGTCAGCAACGAGAACATTGAACTGAAGATGCGCACATGCCCTTGTCTGTTTGCGGGATGTTGCCCGAGGCTGTCATATCAATGGCCCCTAATGGCTGGATCTGGCTGACGACATGCGGAAATCACCGCCAACTTACAGCATATTTGCATTTCATCGGTAAGGCCGGCCAATTCACATGGTCGGGTGCAAGAGAGCTCGAGTATTCTTAGGCGTATCAAGGTTACGATATTGTAGCCGGGTAACGTGGGGGAAACGTTATGCTCCTTGAATGGCTGCGGTAATCACGCCATGACAGCGAAATGGGGTTTAGGTGTGCGATGGAGGTTGCGATTTGCTGCGGTGGACACGCAGCTTCTACCACTCCCCTTAGCGTGCAGACTAGACCTCAACACTCATTGGCTCGACTCGACTGGCCCGTCCTTGACTTATCTCGAATCTACTTAGTAGAGTAGTTACTGTGAAGTCCACTTTTTCCTCGACAGAGCTTCATCTGTCCCCTTGCGATCGTCGCAGAAGATGAATCCGCCGGTGCTTGGGGTGGAACCTTTGAACCATAACTGTAGTATTGGTGGTAGTATTTATACATTGTCATTTCCCGCCCTCTCGCAACCTGCATAAAATCAGCCGTTACTTCTTACACACAGTAGGTGGGCTACCTATTCACCTTCACCATGGAGAAGACATCGCAATCCAAGTTCCGCGTGGTCATCGTGGGTGGCTCCATCGCTGGCCTCACACTTGCCCACTCCCTTCTCCGAAATAACATTGACTTTGTTGTCCTGGAGTCTCACGGTGACATTGCGCCTCAAGTAGGTGCCTCCATTGGCCTTAGCCCTAATGGCAGTCGCATATTCGACCAGATTGGTGTCTTCGACGATATTTATGACCTCGTGGAGCCGCTCCACCGAGAGCTCATCTGGTCCGATAGCGGCAAGCTCATCAACGAGTCGGTCGACCTGCGCCTCATCTTAGAGAGGTAGGTCATTCGCGACCCCTATCTAACATCTCTGCTGGGACTGCGTGAGATGTGATATGTGACCACCCCCCACTGACGGGAAATCAGACATGGGTACCCAGTAGCATTCCTCGATCGCCAGGCTGTCCTCGCAGTCCTCTACAAGCATCTCGGATCTGCGCAAGATCGGGTATTTCTGAACAAGAGAGTGACGAAAGTGGACCACCTGCCCGAGAAGGTGGTGGTACACTGTGAAGATGACACGAGTTTTGAGGGAGACTTGGTTGTGGGTGCGGATGGCGTTAAGAGTACTATCCGGTATCAGATGTGGGATTACATGGAAGCTCGCGGGCTCATCAACGAGATCGCGGAGGAAAGAACAAGTATGCGACCTCTCTTCGGGGACTTTTGGCCGGTACTGACTCCGTCCCCTCGTGGGGCAACAGGGATGAAGTCGGAATATAATTGTGTGTTTGGCATTTCGCAGCCAACCCCGGGACTGGAACCCGGGCTGCTTCATCGGACGTATGGCAAGGATTGGTCATTCCTGGTGATTTCAAGCAAGGGTGGGCGCGTCTACTGGTTCTTCTTCACCAAGATGGATCAGATCTATACGGGCAACGAGACCCCTCGGTATAGCCAGGACGATCTCGAAAAGCACATAGCAGCCTACCTGAACAGACCGGTCACCGATACCGTGCCATTCGCAGAGGTGGTTCAGAGAACGATAACGCGAACAATGGTTCCTCTGGAAGAAGCCCTTTTTAAGCACTGGTGCATGGATCGCTTTGTCTGTATTGGTGACTCGATCCACAAGGTATGTTGAGCTGCGAGCTATAACGTGGTAGTGTCGCTGATTTCCTGGTTACGCAGATGACCCCCAACCTGGGCCAGGGCGGGATGAGTGCCATTGAGAGTGCCGCGTCTCTAGCTAATAGCCTAGCCGCTTTGGTCCAAAACTCGTCCGAGGAGAGAATCCCTGTCAGTGAGATTGACCGCTGTTTGAAGGCCTGGGAGGAAGTGCGACTTGCTCGTCTCCCCCCCATATATTCCGCAGCTGGTGATTTGACTCGGATTGAGGCTTTGGCGTCCCCGAAATATAGATTCATTGCGCTCTGGGTACTTCCACGCCTTGGCCGCTACCTGATGGATATCAACTCCAAGAATATGTCCAGAGCCGTCAAGCTCGACTGCGAGCCAGTCCCGGCACGGTCATTGCAATGCACCATGCCGTATACTGACAGCTACCCTTACACACCCGCGGACAAGGCCTGGAAGCGAGCCCTCTGGACTGCTCCTTTGGTAGGCTGTTACGCTGCTGCGAGCGCGACCATGGGGGCTGTAATCCAGAAGCTCATGCCATACCTCATTACGCAAATCAGCCAAGGAACCTGGACCGCCAGCAATGGTGAAGTCATTAGCCTGACCAAGCCGGTCTACCACGTCTCATTTCTGGACAACCTCCTCCGGCCCATGATTCTCTGCTTTTTGCCCTCGATCAGCGGGACCGACCCATACTCTCGGCTTCAGATGCTGTCGTTCATGACCGACCTGGGCCCAGTGTATGGCATCTGGCTCCTGGAGAGCCTCCGCGGAGCCGAGTCGTGGTACAGAGTGTTACTGTAAGCATTCTGCCCACCCAATTCTTCGGCACCCAGCAGCACCTAACCTGGCATCGCCATAGACCCATAACAGCCGGCGTCGCCTTCCAACTCCGCGGAATCGGCCTGATAGCCCCTCTCTACTACGCAGCCGAATACATCACCGCACCCCTCGGCCGCATCCTCCCCGGCCACAACCGCATTATCGACCCCTCCACGACGGGGTCCTTGCTGATCTCCCTCCTGGGTAGCTACCACCTCACCACCTACGCCAACTTTATCCCCGGCACCGTCGAAACCCGACGCTGGTACAATGCCATCTGGCAATTGTTCCCCGTGACGGTGCCCCTCCTCCAGCTCCCGATCGCCCGCCTCGCGAAGCGCCTCTTCCCCGCCCCGCCGCCGGCCGACCCGGACGCTCGTCGCAAGACGCGCAGGAGAAACATCCGCACCGTGCGGTTCTTCTACCGCACCCTCGCCCTCGTCTCCGGCCTCACCTTCATCTACACGCGCCTCACCAAGCCTCGGGGCGCCTCCGTGGCCAGTCTCTTCCTCCCGGGTCTGACGGAGCACCTCGCCCCCGTGACCTCGTTCCCGCAGGGGATTGCGCGATTCCTGCAGTATGACCAGGTCATCTCCATGGCAAGCGGGTTCGTGTGGCTGGCGTTGCGGTTCCGGGAGTTGCAGCAGCGACAGCAGGCGCGGTCCGAGGCAACGGACTTCTCCTGGTGGAAGGCCGTCGGGGCGTGCGCCGCGTCGACTTTTGTGCTGGGGCCGGGTGCTACCTTTGCGCTGGGCTGGGGATGGAGGGAGGAGATGTTGGAGCGCATGGCGGTGTCAATGCAGTACGGTGGTAGTTAGCTTTGAGAAGGAGGAGTAATTGTCTGGTGGGATGCTAGCCACCGTCCCCTAACGGATGCGTTTTTTGTATTCTTGCGAATAACAGAAAGTTAGTCGAGCTTTCTTTCTAGTTAGATATTGTGGCATGTAATGAAGGGGGCCGGCCGGATATAGTCCTGGCCATTGATTATACCATTTTCTTTTGTTTGGTTTCCGGCATACGCAGTACCTAGGTAAAGACGTAATAATCATGATCATATTCCCTAGCCATCCTTATTATTTACTCATCAAATCAGAAGGTTCGTCATGCGCTAGCGCTGAAGAGTTCCTCGCCAACGTCAAAGGCGGCCTTGAAGGGCATGCGGCCGTCTGTGAGGAGTCTTGAGACTCACCAACCGCCTTGACTTTAAATTTGGGGAACCAACCCAGTATCATACTTAGGATTATGGCACTATAATCAAAGTAGTATTATGTTTCTAAAACAAATCTAGTAGTAAGGTTTATTCTTACTGTTCATAAGGCCTATAATCAATCCAGCCAGATGATGTATTTACTTCCCTTTTCCATTTTGGTTGATAAGTACGGAGAAAGTGCCCTATCTAGCGCTTCTATATAGGTATAGATCAGGTGTTGTCGAGTGGGACTAATTATCCGTTTTCACGGCGATCACGCTGAGTACGACTTAATTAACTGACTGACTGACTACCTTGCTAGCTTTCGAAATTCCAAACTTCCTGCATAGTTCTTCCGAGCCGAGCTCAGCAGTATACTGCGTAGTCGAACAAGATCAGCACGAGTGATCAACGCTCTGCTAGCGACTTTGCTTTGGCGTCATGTGTCGACTACTGGTCCCCTTCTGCGGGGGAGATAGTGAGCGCCAGACTAAGGACATACCTTCAAATTCTTAGTTAGTCCTAGCCACTCAGTAGCTACATTGATCTGAAACGCCGCTTTGGAATCTACAGGGCCAAGAAAGGGCCGTGGTCTGACGAAACACGCATATACCAAGAATGACGCTTGACAGTCAGTTGCTTGATTCGGTATGGCTTATGATGCGAACTGTTACACGGGGATTGCTCTTACACACTGGGATCGAGCAATCACGCTCTGCACAAGCAGTTTCTGCCCCTGGGAATTAAGCGTTCTCTTGGAGAGTCCGCAATCAGTCTATCTGCGAAGGCCAAGGGTATGGCGCCTCTCATCTCGCCCGAAGCGAGACCCATGGGCAGGGCGTCACCGAAGAAAAGATACCAAGGACAGCGACAAGGGCAGCGTTACTCGTGGTGGAGGGGGGTTGAGTATCGCTACAGCTCTGCAAAGAATGAGTCCACCGGGAGGTTCCTTCGTCGCTAGGAGATTGAGAAACAAGAAACTTGAAGGGTCGGAGGGGCGAGACTGGGATACATCTGTGTGTTGATAGAACCAAATCAGTTCTTGATTCCTTCTAGGGGGGGCGAAACCATACTTCAGGTTGTTCCCAGACCTTTATCAGGGGGTATCCTCCTGGTTATTGACAAAGTCAAGCATGATAAATCATGCTTATTCACTGAACAGTCAATCAAAGTGTCAGTCAGTATTGAAGAGTAATGGTCATGGTAACTTTAGCCATACAAAGATGACCAAACTAGTAACCACGGCCTGGTAGATGTCGACAATCCCAAGTCTAGAGAAAGACCAGAGACTAAGAGCCAAGCAAGCAAGCGTCCAAGATTTGATTCGAAGTTCAAGACAACTTCTAGGATATGATAATGTTATCGTAGTAAGTTAGCTTATACTTCCGGCAGTGCACACTATCCCGTATCGGGTAATCTGTCGTCACCCCCCGGCCCCAGGCCACCGCCAAGAGTATAGAGTAGTTTCCTGGCACTGCTGGGTTCCTTCAACATTTACATCTTTGACACCCACCGACCACCTTGATAACCTCGACACCGTCACTCTCTCATACACCTTGAAGCGCCACGAGCTGCATCAAACCCAAAGCGAGTCACGCACCGTTACCACATCAATCCCCACCTTCCTGGCTCCCAGCAAACCTCCCAACTCCAACAATGCCGTGAACCGAAAGATCTCCATCATCCCACTACGCCATCCTTTCGCCCACAAACCGACAACCTCTGACCACTATCTACAACCTCCCACACCTCCAACCGCACCTCAAAATGCCCTCACCAATAGCGGCAACCCCAACCGCACCCTCACCCACCAACCCCCAACCCAACCCCTCCACCACCGACCACGACGCGCCAACCCAAACCCAAACCCAAACCCCCCAACCCCGCCGCAAAAGATTCCGCTTCAAATCGCCATCCCGCCCAAGACTCAAATCCAAGTCCAACCCCAAATCCGCCCACGACAAAGCAACCCGCCACACCGCGCACCGCGCCCGCCGCGCCCACCGCACCCGGCACCCTGACCCTGACCCTCACCAGCCCGACCACCCCCAACAAACCCCCGACCCAGCACCAACACCAACACCAACACCAGCCCTCGACCCCGACACCGCCTTCCGGGAATCCCTCTTCGACGCCCTCGGCGACGACGAAGGCGCCACCTACTGGGAATCCGTCTACGGCCAACCGATCCACACCTACGCCATCCCGCGCATCCCCACGGGCCCCGCGGGGGAACTCGAGCAGATGGACGAGGAGGAGTACGCGGCCTACGTGCGGAGCAAGATGTGGGAGCGGACGCGGGAGGGGATGCTCGAGGAGCAGGCGCGGTTGCGGGCGGAGCGGGCGCGGCAGCGGACGCGCCAGCAGGAACAGCAACGGCAACGGCAGGCGGGGGAGAGCAGCAGCAGCAGCAGCAGCAGCAGACGCGCGTTCGACGAGGCCATCGAGGCGAGTCTGCGGCGGGGGAGGGAGCGGAAGCGGCAGCGGGCGTGGAGGGAGGGGTGGGAGGGGTATTTGGGGTGTTGGGGGAGGTTGGATGCGGCTGTTGCGGATATTCAAAAGAGGAAGGAGGGCGAGGGGGACGAAGGGGAGAAAGGGGAGAAAGGGGCCGATGGCCATGGCCATGGCAATGGCAATGGCAGCTTCCGCAATCTCGTGTTCTGGCCCGTGGAATCGGGGAAGCGGACGGATGTGAGTAAGGAGAATGTGGAGGGGTTCATGCGGCATTGCCCCCAGGCGGATGGGTCATCGGAGTTGTTGGCGGTGCTGAAGGCGGAGCGCGTGCGCTGGCATCCGGATAAGATCCAGCAGCGGTATGGAGGGCTTGGGATCGAGGAGGCCGTGCTGCGCTCGGTGACGGAGGTGTTTCAGATTATCGATCACTTGTGGAATGATCTTAGGGCTACCGGCAGAGTCTCTGCCTGAGCCTCCTCATGGACGATGGATCTCGGGACTCGAGTCGGACTTAGACTAGTTGGCATATATGCATCCCTGGCGTGTGGATGTTTTAGCGATGATTTATGATACCCTCGACCTTATGATAGACAATTTTGGTCATGACCGATACAATACAATGATCACCCAAACACCGTAAGTCAAGGCTAAGACATCTTCACCTGCTCAGTCGATTCATATACGCATTCACAAGAAACTAAAACTTTCTCATCTCTTTACCTACCCACTCCCGCTTCAGAATCTCGAGTAGCGCTGCTTGGACCGATACGCAGTCCAACCCACGTACGCACCCACGACGGCGGCCAGGAACAGCACCACCTTGAACAAGAACCAGCCCCAGCTGCCCTTCTTCTGGCGGCGCTTGACCCGAGCCGAATCCTGCCCGCGGGCGCGTGAGGGCCCGCTCTTGCCGCCGGGGCTGCCGCCGCCGACACTGTACAGGTTCTGGGACTTGACGGAGACGATGTCGAAGTTGTCGCTGAGCTCGCCCGTCTCGGCGGAGAAGCCCAGGTAGGCGACGGAGGGGATGGCGATGTTCTTGTCCTCGGCGTTCAGCTCGAAGCACTGGATCCAGGTGTCCTCCTTCTTGTACTGCAGCTCCAGCGTCAAGGTCTTATCCTGGAAGTAGGTCAGGCGGGCCTTGGTGGGGATGGAGGCGCCACGGAGACCGCGAGCCTTTTGTGCGCGCGTCACAATAAAATTAGCACATGGTTCTTTCTTGCTGCAGAGAAAAGCCACACAAGCCGGGCAACAAGAAAAAAAAATAAAACGTACAGAACATCCAGCCAACTCATTGGCGCGGCCATCATGGGCCTGGTCGTACGAGGTCTGGCCATCGCCCATCATGGCCATGACGTAGGGGAACGTGGTCCCGGGGCGGTTGTTCTTGTAGGTGTCGAAGAAGATGCCCAGCCCCTCGAAGTTGTCCGTCGAGCCGAAGACGGGGCCCTGCGTCGCGCGCTGCTTGGTGAGCCACATGGCGAACCCATCGCCGTGCAGGTTGCCGGCGCCGTGGATCTTGAACTCGACCTCGATCTATCAAGGAACGTACATATCAGCCCACTGTGCCCCTCATGAACCCTTTCCCCTCCCTCCAATCCCTGCTGCAAGCACAATCGAAACTAACCTCCCAGTTCGTCGCGGTCAAGGGCACCCGAGAGAAGATCCAGCCCTGCTGTGAAGGTCGATCGGAGGTAAGACGGATGTATCTACAAAACGACAAAACAAACGCGCAGTGGTCAGCTTGATCCGAAAAAATATGAAAATGTCGGAGGAGCTCTCGTACTGGTCCGCCCGGATTATCGTATCACCACCAAAATCGAACCAGCGGCTTTGGAAGTCGGAGTCCAAGTATGGCTATGTTGGTCATTCGGTCAATAAAACGGGTAATCTTGTCGTGGGTGCGAAAGAGAAACCCTACCGGTGCGAGACTATGGGTCCGAAGCTATACCACCCTCCGCGCATCGCATTAGTTTGATCAACGATCTAGGAAAGCGAAGAACGATTCGTCGTTGGGAATGAATACACACCGGGATGCTCTTCACATCGTCGCCGTCGTAGGCATTGGCCAGTGGGACCGAAGCGAGGCCAGCAAGGCAGAGGAGAGACGAGAGCCGCGGAAGCAGCATGGTGATATCACAATCCCAATTGGAACTTGGGCTGCACACAGTGGTCAAGGGTCGTGAGATCGAAGAGAACAATAGACGACAGCGCGCAAGGCCGGCAAAGGTCGCAACGACGGGAGAAGATAGCTTTGTTTGTTGGTCACCAGGACATATAACAGCTTCTGGCAAAGGTTCGGGTAAAGGAGTCCCCCCACACGTCAGATGGCCAGCAAGCTTGAGGTTTGGAGGAACCTCAAATAAACAAACCAGAATGCAGAACTTACCTCAATTGCGGAAGAAGATAAAGACTCCGGGAAGGGGGAGTTCACAAGAAAGTTATTTGAGGAAGAAAAGAAAAGAACGAACACCGGAGATAGTCGGAGGGGAGAAGAGAGAGAGAGGGAGAGAGAGAGAGAATGACAGGTGGTGTGTGAGAGGTGGTTGGTTGGATGAGGAGAGGGATCTATAACTCAGCTAAACAACACTGCGGGAAACTCTCCAAGTGTCCACATCGCCGGTCCAGCAAGTTTAGCTCATTGCTGTGGCGCAGCTTTGAACAAACACTAGCCACAATCTGATCTCCGCCGCCGCCGCCGCCGCAAGATCTTGAAGCTGCGGCGGTTCTCCGATACAACCATTTCCCTCACTCATTAACTTTGTATATTAAACCACATTTCTCCTTCCTCTCTCTCTCACTCCCTCCACAAACTCAAGAAACTCACACAATGGCGCTCTTCGGTTCCTCCTCCTCCGCCGAGGCCTCCTCTCCTTCCTCCAGCCAGGAGATCAAGGCCTCGCTCATCCGCCAGGTCCAGGAAGAGGCCGCCATGAGCAATGCCCGGAGCTTGATCGGCGTATGTGTCCCCCCCCCCGGCGTCACTCTGCTTGACACCCATATCGAAGCCATATCATTTGCCCCTCTTACCTCAACTTCATCCATAAAAGAAAGCAAACCTAACAACTCCCACAGAAGGTCAACGAGCACTGCTTCGACGCCTGCGTCCCCACGCCCGGCGCCTCCCTCTCGGCCAAGGAGTCCACCTGCCTGTCGCAATGCATGGAGAAGTACATCGGCTTCTGGAACGCCACCAGCCGCGCCTACATCGCCCGCGTCTCCAAGGAATCCAAGAGCCTGGGCGGCGCCGACCTGTCCGGTGTTTCTCTGTGAGCGGCGAAGCAGACCCTTTCAGAAACAAAATATAAACAACGTTTTCCCTCTGTATTCTATAGTTTTCGGAGTCGAAGTCCATTTCCTAAATCTTGACAACCTCTCCATTTGGGTAGAAGATGAAGATGAATGATGGTTGGGATTGGCGTTGATGTGCACCTCTCCTGTAGCATGGGAGTAGTGGTAGTGGTGCCAGCGTGGAGCAGGTCTGGGAATTAATTATAATACCTGGGCTTGTGGACACGCGTGTCATGAAGCAGCAACCTAGGACGCAAAGCATGGTGCCGGTTCGTTTCTCCATGTATACTATCGGGTGGTCGTTCAAGAGGGCGCTTACACTTGCTCTTTGGACACGACGGGGTCGGGCGATTGCTCGAATTAGAAAAGAGTCTCTTCAGCCGTTCCAATGTCTAGCTCTTCTCTTCTCTTCTCTTCTCTTTTCTAAACATCACCTATCGAGTGGTAGCCGCGCTGTCCACGTATCTGCAAGGTCGACTTTTATAGCTATTAGAAAATCCCCAATTGTATGTACATTATACAATAGCCTCCACACGCGACACGGAAAGCGAAATCCAAGAAAACCCGAATATATCCCCATATTTGCACAGCATAGACAGAAAAGAACAGCAAGACACCGATTCAAAGAGCGGTCATGGGTGATAGAACAGCAGACAGGCGCCCCCGCAAGATTCAGCACCGCCACCGCGGTTAGTAACTCCATCCACGTCCTTCGTGATAACAACCAGCAGCAGAAAGTAAGCAAGTCATAGGCAAAGGATACTGTTCTCTTGTTCGAGAAACCGTGCGAGTCGAGATCGAGCCGCAACTATGCACCATCAAGATAGGCAGGAATCGAGGGACGAGAACGGAGAAAGGGTTGAGCCAGACGCAATTCCCAAGTGAGAGATCAAGAAATATGTGAACAGGATAAGACCATATTGTTATATGCTCTAAAGTCTGGAAGCAGCCAAGGCTTGATTCGGCCAGCGATCATGGAAAAAGACAAGCCGACGCAGAGAAAAATTCATCGAAGCAACAGTGATAAATGATAACTTAAGATAAGGCTATTTTAGGTAGCCTCGGGAGGAAACTCCGGGGAGAATCGATTATACCCGCTCTTAAACGCCCCGGGAACCATCAATCGACTCGATTCCGCAAGAACAAATCCATGGAAAGGCGGGATTTCATCTCATCATGAACCATGGCGACCTCTAGAAGTCGGGGAACAGATGGCCGTGACTTTTGCAAGTTAGCAAGGCTAAATGCGAAAGGCAATGGATAGGGAATACATACGGGTCTTCTCCAGCCATGCCGTATTGTTCCGTCTCCTCGGGATACCGGTCGTACTGGCTGGCGTCACCTTGCCCGCCCCGAATGGGCGGCACATAAGGAGCATCAATGTCCTTCCGGGCCAGGCGGTCCCAGGTGACCTCGGCGAACCAGGGGTGGTTCTTCACATCCTCAGAGCCTCCATGAAGGTTACCCAGACGCTTGGTGAGGTCCGCTGTGATGAGCTGCGATAGCAAGTCGACGGCATCGGGATGCAGGTAAGGCGGGTACTTGACTCTGCCTCGCAGAATGTTCTCATAGATCTTCACCGGAGAGCCGCTGTCCCAGAAAGGTGTGAAACCGCAGAGCATCTCGAAGATTAAGATTCCCAATGACCACCTTTACTAAAGTTAGCAGTGCTGCAGGACCGCCAGCGGATAGCTCCTTACCAATCCACGGATTTGTTGTAACCCTTGGAAGACACGACTTCTGGCGCCAGGTAATCGGGGGTTCCACAGAGGGTCCATGTGATGTCAGGGACCTCCTTCGCGAAACCAAAATCGGTGATCTTCAAGTGTCCGTGCCGATCCAGAAGCAAGTTCTCGGGCTTGAGATCTCGGTAGATGATCTGCTGAGAGTGGAGGTACTCCAAGGCAAGGGTCACCTCAGCGGCGTAGAACTTCGCGACAGGATTGGGGAACCGCTGAAGCTTATTAGCACAGGCTCGGTGAAGGGACTCCGATACCACGGAGCATTGTGCGACCACGTACCTGGGACTTGCGCAGCAGACTGAAAAGTTCACCACCTTCTACAAAGTCCATGACCATGTACAGGTTGCGCGAATCTTGCCAGGTACCCCAGAGAGTGATCAGGAACGGATGCCTGACCCGATTCAGCATACGACGCTCGTCGTTGGTGTGCTCGATCTGCTTCATCTTGACCACCTGCGCCTTCTTCAACACCTTGATGGCATAGAAGCGATGGTTGTGCTTGGACTGCACGAGATGAACACGACCAAAACTGCCGGTTCCCAATGTGCGCTGCAGAATGAAGTCATCTAGGGAGTATTTTCCCTTGGTGGTACGAGCATCGTTGCGATTGGCTGATTGGCCCTGGGCCTGGCTGCCGGAGCCAGAGTGCGTTGAGCCCTGCTGGGAGGAGTGAATTATGTTCTGTATGCTGGCGGCATTGACATTGGACTGTGAAACACCGGCGGTGTGTTGAGAAGGCGACGCTTGCGACACGGTAGATTGCATGGAGACTGGTTGACCCTCGTTGGATTGATCGGCTGTGGAAGAGCGGTTGAGCTGGTTGGCGGCCGAAATTTGCGGCTGATTTGCGGGGTCAGCGGTGGTGGCGGAATTGGAGGCAGGTTGCTGGTGCTGGTGCTGGTGCTGCTGTTGATTTTGCTGGTGCTGCTGGTCGGGATTATTGTGGTGGTGGTGAGTGAGATAGTGAAGAGGGTTGTGGTGGTGGTGGTGGTTGTGGTTGTGGTTGTGGTCGTCTTCGGCAGCGTTTGGTGACGTCTGCGTCTGGGCCGAACCGGCTTCAAGCTCTTTAGAGAGGGTCTGCGAATCCTTAGTTCGCCGCTTCTTCAACAGTCCTCCTAAACTAGGCATCGAGAAGAGAAATCTGAAACGAGTTTGAAATGCAAAACGAACACACAGACCATACGAGAAGGTCTATGTGGGAATAAATAAGAAGTTGGAGGATTTCGGGATAACGTTGAGGGGAAGGGGAGGGTTGAGGGGAGGGGACGGAATTGTGTGCACGACACGAGAAAGAGTAGTTAGTCTCAGCCCCTCTTTTTGCAGCAGCGCAACTGCACTTTTCGGGGAGGGCAGAAAGGGATTTGGAGGGGGAGGGAAACAGCAAAGGAGGGGTCCCGGATTGATTGAGACCTGGGCAACAAGAAGCCAGCTTTTTTTTTCCTTTTCCTTTTTTTTCCCCTCTGACTTAAAGTTCTCTCCCTCTCTTGTCTCAAGCAGCTCTTTTTCTTTTGGGATGGATGGTTCGGGCGCGGATACAGCGGAGCCACCCAAGCAGAAGTCTCAACTCTGAACTGAGACGGCGGTCAACGGAAACTCAATTGGGTCGGAGGATGGCGACAAGAAGAATTGATCGATCTCTGGACTGTTTGCAATGTACTGAATAGGGCTGTTTGACAGTACGGAGAAGAACGAGGAGGAGTGCAGAAAAGGTAGGAGAAGAGCAGACAGAAGAAAGGGACTTAATGGAAAGAAGAGGGGGTTGGAAAAGGGAAGCCAAAACAGCAAGTGAACGTCTCAAGAGCAAAAGGAAGAATAAGAAGCGGGGTTGGATTTGCGTCAAGCTCAAGGCTGGCTGGGATGGGCATAGCGCTTGACGACCAGCTAGATGTACTTAGCTCCAGTTAGATCAGGGATAATGTTAATGGGGCCTGGCTATATCTTAGTAGACCATCGCTATAACTACAGTACAGTGCAGGTACTGTCCACTATCTACACTACATACATAGTAGTACATCAGTCTGATCGCCATCAATAGACTAGCTGAATGACAAGCATTGTCTCTCTCTCTCTCATGAATCAACCCCTCCCGAATAAACACCGACTACCCAACCATCTAGACCTGGTCAGTCCGTCCTTCCATGAGTTCGAAGGATGGAAGGATAACTACCTTGAAGATAGACTAACTACTAGATCATCATGACCTGTTTTTCGCACCGAGGCTCATACCCATCAAAGTCGCCACGAACCATGGACCAGGAGCTCTGGGGGATGTCATACTCATCATTCAATCAATCTTCATCAAGCTCCGATGCAATGAGGTCATCATCCCTCCGTTCTCAGATCGGCTGTTCCGATTAGTACTCATACTCATAGTATCGACCAACCGAGAGCGCGATTCCGCCAACGGTTAAATCCGTCCTGACGTTATAGACCGAGGATGCCTTCAGTAAAAAGTACATCATGTAACAGTGTAGTTAAGTGGTTACTCTTGGTTCCCTGTTCCTCCGTGATGTCTCAAACTCTCTTTTCCACGTCCATACGAGATAAGACGTGCATGTCACTCTGCAGTTCTTGCTGCATTGATCCGGTTGTGAAACAAGGGTTGATAAGGGAGGGAGTAAATGAGTCCACTCAGTTCCGGAGTCAACGTGGCACTCCCTACAGTTGAACACTGTTGGATGCACTGTGACTGAGAGTTTGAGAGTCAGTCAAACTGGCTGGCGGTGACTTCATCACTGACCGCCCCGCCTAGATGGATATACCTCCAAGTGGTCTAGTGCGAATCTAGTCTAGTCTAGCTTAGCTAAGTTGGTTGTGGATCGCCCCGCTTTCGGGGTGTTTTTTTTCTCTGCCTCGTCCACCCTTTTAAGCTTCGAATGCAATGGTTGAGCCTGCGCCTATCCGTCTATGTTTCGGGTGAGCACGGCCAGACTATGGACGCTTGCATCTGTCCTCTTCTCTCCCCCAATTTTCGCCATATGGCTTTCCTGCCCATGCTGTGGCATGCGGCTTGTCTTGTGTTACACTGACTGAAACCTTAATCCTTAAGCAAGGCGAACTATCGGTTACGTTGATTACTCAACGGACATCGTATGTTTATATGTACGGTACTTTGAATGCCATCACGGCTGAATTGAATAGCGAACCAACCCTCCTCCCCCCTCCCACAAAATAGATGAACGCCTGCTGCACTCCATTCCAAAATGCTGTTTCAACCCCCAGAATCACCCTGGCCGCGTCACAGAAATACAACGGGCTAGACAAGGCCGCAAGCCTAAATGCGATAATGGACCATATTTTTCTTGATCTCATCCACGATTTCCACTGCCTCGAGAGCATTGCGTGCCTCGAAGTCATACCGTTTCTGCTCGTTGGCATCGTTGCCGCGCAGAACCACCACCCGAAAGTTCTTAGGGTGTCGTCGACTCACTTTGCATCCCACTACGTCGTTGAAGCTGATCGACCGCGTCTTCGTGTCGGACACCGTCTTACCTGTATCCGCCGGCATGATATGCATGTAATCATTGTCGAACGTCAGAACTCGATGGTTGGACTGCGTGAACGACATAGACTGTTTGCGCCACACGTAGTATCGTCGATAGTAGCCTCCAGTAAGGTCTTGTTTCTGTGTGAGAGGGTGAAGCATACGTTGGCCGCTCTTCTTTCCTTTCTTGGCCGGAGCGGTGTTGCTGTCGATGAGAAGGGGCGCATTGGGTGATGAGCTGCCCGGGGAGCCAGTCATTTGAGGCCCAAATCGCCGGCGCACGAGATCTAGGTCGGTGAGGTTGCCCAGAGCTTCCACTGTTCGGTCCAAAGGTGCAATGGTACTGGATCCCATCACCTTCAGCAAGTAGTTACCCTTGTCAAGGCCCCAGCGTTTGCACACGGAGTCAAGAATCTCGGCAATGTAGCTGTCGGTCGAGGTATTGAGTGTCATCACCTGTGTCGAGGCCTCTACATTGGTGTATCGGATCTTTAACGTTTTGGAAACCCCTAGGCGAGGGGTAGCATGAGACGTAGGCACAGCTGGCCGATCGGCAGGTGTCAAAGTATTGTCGTTCAGGGCCGAGGAGAAGGGCTGCCCCAGAATAGGGTTCGGACGAGGCGCCTTGGCCTGTGGCACAGGCTGGCTTGTTGGAGCAGGTGCACTTGCAGCAACCTCGGCACTATTATCCTCCGAAGATGGTGCCAAAC